AATGGAGGCCTTTTTACATCCCAGCATACAGAAATTCGCTGTTATTTTACTTCAACTGACAGGTTTACAACAGTAGGTAACTTTCGCAATTATCGAATACTGAGTATGTTGTTTAAGCCTGTGACCCAATTTGCTCGAGGTCGTGGCACTCCGTGGTACTGAACTATTATCAGAAGTTAAATATTGGTAGATAGAGCGGGGCACTGAAATTTGTATGTACTGTAGTTATACAATATAGGTTGTAAAAGACTTCATTTTGTACGTTTCGTACACAAATACTGTACTTTTGCTAGAGAACTGCGCGCATTAGGGATACGAAACATCTGGAATTCCCAGCGTCACTAGAAAAAAAAAATATGATATCTCCGATAAGATATAAGGAAGTATTATAGTGATTTATCTAAATAATGTGGTCAAGTTCCAGATGATGATCGATACAAATCTTATATTTTATTTTGTTTATTTTATACAACTAGCACGTAAAAGTGAAAAGTTTCTCTTTGGAAACATATATTGTATCTATTTATACGTGTTGCCAAGTAAACACAAGCGGGACTTTCCCTTCGTCCCCACTGCCTAGTAGTACAGTACTAGGTGTCTCAGTAGCAAGGTTAGCTAAAGTTGAATAAACTGACTGTGCTTCTAAACTTTAATGTAGGAGTGTATGCGTGCAGTTGTAGATACATGTAGAGTGTGGATGTGAAGGTTTATTTTACACTAAATATTATGATGTGCCAACCGTTATTTTGAACAGATTTTATAATGGAAGCCTCTTTCACATCCTAGCATTCTATATGCTGAGAATGACATTTGTGTGAAGCCTTATAGAGTCACTCTTATTTCAATTTATCATATAATTTTAATCAAACAATTTATCACATGACATTGACCTTTTGTTTATCTTATTTTTTCCATATTTATTTATTTATTTATTTATTTCCATATACTTTATGAGAGTTTCCATATACTTTATGAGATTGAGAGAGATGTACCTAACAGTAGTAGAGGTCAAAGCTGTGACCGTGAGTGCACGTACATGTTTACTTTATGGGAATTATTTGTACCATGTAATACAAATGCTTTATATTTGAAAGAACAATTAATGGATGAAAGCTGGTTTATTAAAAAAAAGAAAGTCAAATTTTAAAGATAAGTAAACTTTGAATTCCAATTTGAAACATTCCGCACACTGTAAAAGCACTGTTAAATCTGAGGGATAGCACGTGGCCCCTCTTGAGCTCTGTTGGGGGATTCCCCCTGGAAATACCATTCGTCATCTTGGACCAGATCAAATCTGCGACAGGAAGGTGAGTGAAGGCTGGGGATATTTCATCCATTTTACCTAGATTATTTCCCAGATGTACATTTTTACGTGTTAACTAACTTCCTAGGGTTGATAAGATATGGAACCCACTGTAGTTTACCTCAACTGTATAATAATAATAAGCTGTTGTACAAAAATTTGCGCTGCTCGCATATTAGGATGCGAAACATCTGGAATTCCCACCTTCAGTAGGAAAAATGATCCCTCAGATAGGCTATAGGGAAAGACTTAGGTGATTGATTTCAATACTGTGATAAAATCCTTCGTCTCCAGATGATGCACATGTAGTTGCTCTGTTTTATTTTTCCACTTTTAAGATCGATGGCACAGTTACCATTAGTTTCTCTTTAGAAATATTATGTCCAAAACAAGTAAACACAATGGGGACTTCCCCGTTATCACCGTGGCCCAGCTTTGATAGGTGTGTCTCGGTAGCAGCTTCGTGTTATGATACATATAAATATGAACAGATCAACGTACATATCAACAACATTTTACTCCGGAATATCGCTGTGACGTTCATATCACACGTGTTTATTGACTTCAAGCATTAGGGAAGATATGGAAATTCACTGTTATTTTACTTCAACCAGCAGGTTAAAAACAGTAGATAACTTTCGCCATTATTGAATATGTTGTTCAACCTGTGACCCAGTTTACTCGAGGTCGTGGCACTCCGTGGTACTGAACTATTATCAAAAAGATAAACATTGAAAGATAGAGCGGGGCACTGAAATATGTATGTACTGTAGTTATACAATATAGGTTGTTAAAGACCTCTGTTTGTGCGTTTCGTACACAAATAATGTGCTTTTGCTTGAGAACTGCTCGCATTAGGGAACATCAGGGGCCCATATATCTCGAAAGCTTCTCTATGTTGCGAGCGGGCACGGGCATGGCGATTCCGCACTATTAGCGAGTGCGATTACACCCACCTGCTATCTCGAAGCCTTAACAAACGTAACGCAATTGTAACCTCAAACTCTACTAAAATCCGATTGCCGCATAAAGTGAAGACGTCATAACACAATTACAAAAATTTTTTTTTTCACTTTGACGCTAATCAAGAGGTTGTTTTTATTTATAGGAATATCATAATTACAAATACTGATATTTGAAGTGTTTGACACCAATTAAATGTCAAAAAACAATTTAATAAGCGAATCTTGGACTGACACAATTACTGACACATTGGTGAGTAGTGTTCAGTCTCACAATAATAGACATTGAGGAAGGTCACGGTGCGACCGAATGCTTTGTTTCTGCTTTTTCATTTTGTGTAGAAAATGACACTTTTAAATTTATGATTATTATCAATAGACTACACAGATTAATTACATTCATCAGAAAATATAAAATGATGCATAAAATGTTTAATTTTGTAAGTTTTATTCAAAATAAAACGTAACTTAAGCATTCTTCACGTGAATATTTGCCGTAAGTTTTTCTATCGGAGGTACCGAGTGATTCAATCTATTATAAGCTTCCATGTTTTGGTATGTGTTTTGTTATATGCTATCGAAAGACACATTAAAATGACGAATTATGCATACGCAGAGGCCATTGCGACTAGTTTGTATCGCCGCAAAAATAGCCTCGAAACTAATGGTGATTTCGCTATTAGCGCACGGTCGAGCTTTGCGAGGCTTTCGAGAGATGGGATAGCGAGGAATCGCCATGCTTGCGCCCGCTCGCCAAAAGCAAAGCTTTCGAGATACGGGGTCCTGGAATTTTTCCACTGTCATAAGAAAGAGATATATGAACTGTCCGATAACATATATGAGGAAATACTGTAGTGATTTATTTCAATAGGCCTACTGTGGTCAGGTTCTTCTTCTCCAGATGATACAACATTTATCATGTTTAATTCTATTTATTTCATACCGATAGCACGTATATAGTTTTTCTCTGAAAACATTGTATCTATTTATACGTGTATAGACAAGCGGGACTTTGCCATCATCCCCGCTGCCTAGTAGTAGGGGCCTACTAGGTGTCCCAGCAGTAAGGTTAGCTAATTAAGAATATACTGGCTGTGCTTGTTAAGTGCAATGTGCAGTTGTAGGTAGATTGTGAATGTGAATGTGAAGGCTTGTTTTCCACAAAATTTTGATATGTGTCAGCGGTAATTTTGAACAGGGTTACGACAACGGACGCCCTTTTACAGCCTAATATTCCATACGCTGATAATGACATTTGTGTGAAGCCTTACAGAGTCACTCTAATTTCAATTAATCAAATAATTTCATTAAAAACTGTTAATCATTTTCGAAATTTATCACAAAACATTGACCTTTTGTTTATTTTATTTGTCCATATTTATTTATTTATTTATATTTGGTCGGGGTGAAAGGTGAAGAAAATCTCCCTCTGGCAATTACCATGTAAAGGCATTTCAAAATATGCATTACCTGTTTATCTGTGTCTGGTGCTTATCATGTGAATATAGAAAATGGATAATAACCATTCCAGGTGGACTGTGCAAACCACGCCTGCAGTAAGAGGTCACTGTGTTTCCAACATACAGTCTCATAAGAATGTACCCACTCCACAGGGCTGCAAAGAGTGGTGATATCAACAAAGTGCGGGGACTGTTAGAGACTGGAGCATGGGACGAGAGGACGGAGGAATGGGGTGTAAGTTTGCCTGTCTTGAGATCAATAATGAAAAGTAGTTGCTCTCATACTACTTGATAGCTTTATGGAATATAATTAGTCATTAAAATTAATATAATAAAATAAGGTATATGTATACGTGCTATTACAGAATGCATTTATAAATACCGAGTATATAACAGGTATTGCATTGAATAGAAGCTTTTTATATATCAGCTGAAAAACGATAAGCTTCATCTCCGATGTATTATAAACACCCCGTTTTCAAACACCGTCATAAAATAGACCTCCTCTACACTGCGATAATTATGGTGTTGAACGTCTGACATAAATCCTGGGGAACACTAATGTTGAATTAATTAGTAAATTGATCAATTAGATAATTTATTTATTATGCTAATGCCGTGATAGGATATGAAAACAGTAGCTTCGGAGTAGTCATACTCCTTTTCATAACGCTGCTTATGGTGTAGACGCAACGTCGAATTTAGTCTTACCTGATCGTAAGGAAAAAACTACGGGCACACTTCTTAATGGTTTATATTTATTTATTCATTTATGTCACTGACATGTCGTAATAATGGTCCAATGACATAATCGTGGACCTAAAAACTTCTGCATCTTTAGGGTGGTTGGGCACCTCTTCATTTTGCTGCTGAGGGTGGTCACAGCGATGTAGCAGCTCTACTCATTCAGCACGGAGCTGATCCCTGCAGTACAGACGGGGTAGGTATATACATTTTATTTGAAATATATATGTTACATATGACAATGCATGAAACAGTTCTGACAAATACACGCATCAAACGCCACGTCCACTTAATACATAACCAAAACGCCACACTCACTAACGCTGTCTGTATGCTGCTGTTAACATGGCAGTGTAGATCTAGAGATAGATGCACAACTAGAGGAGAGATTATATATATATACCACAAACATTTCCAACCCTATATTAAAACTGCATTTTATTTAATTTCATTTTAATATCAAATTTATACATCGTTATTTTGTCTTTATGGTATATCGTTCATACGAAAACACTGTTCATCTTCAGGAGGGTAGTACACCTCTTCATAAGGCTGCTGAGGGTGGTCACAGTGATGTAGCAGTTCTACTCATTCAGCACGGAGCTGATCCCTGCAGTACAGACTGGGTGGGTATTTGTATTTTATTTGAAATATTTGTTATATATTGTAATGCATGAAACATAGTTCTGCCAATTACATGTATCAATCACAATGTCCTCTTAAATATAAACAAAACTCCACAATCACTGTCAAGCTGTCAATATGCTGCTGTTATAAACATGGCAGTGTAGATCATGTAGACTGTTTCACAAATAAGTCAGAGATTACACCACAAACTTTTCAACATTTAATTAAAATGCATTTTATTTCAATATCAATTATACATCATGACTTTGTCTTTGTGGTATATCGTTAAAATGAAAATATTTGTATATATTTTTAGTTTGGACGTACACCTCTTCATAAGGCTGCTGGGGGTGGTCACAGCGATGTAGCAGCTCTACTCATTCAGCACGGAGCTGATCCCTGCAGTACAGACGTGGTAGGTATATATATTTTATTTGAAATATTTGTTATATATTGTAATGCATGATACATAGTTCTGTCAATTACACGTATCAAACACAATGTCCTCTTAATATATAACCAAAACGCAAAACTCACTAACGCTGTCTATATATATGCTGCTGTTATAAACATGGCAGTGTAGATCATGTAGACAGTTTCACAAATAAGACAGAGATTACACCACAAACTTTTCAACATTTAATTAAAGCGCATTTTATTTTAATATTAATTATACATCATGACTTTGTGGCATATCATTAAATTGAAAGCATTGTGTATGTCTTTAGTGGGGTCGTACACCTCTTCATTATGCTGCTGGGGGTGGTCATAGCGATGTAGCAGCTCTACTCATTCAGCACGGAGCTGATCTCTGCAGTACAGACAGGGTAGGTATATGTATTTTATTTGAAATATTTGTTATATATTGTTATGCATGATACATAGGTCTGTCAAATACATGTATCAAACACAATGTCCTCTTAATATAACCAAAACTCCACAATCACTATCGAGCTGTGTTTAATATGCTGCTGTTATATACATGACAGTGTAGATCATGTAGACAGTTTCACAAATAAGACAGAGATTACACCACAAACTTTTCAACATTTAATTAAAGCGCATTTTATTTTAATGTAAATTTTGCATCATGACTTTGTCTTTGTGGTATATCGTTAAAATGAAAACATTGTATATGTCTTTAGCGGGTACGTACACCTCTTCATTACGCTGCTAATGGTGGTCACAGTGATGTAGCAGCTCTACTCATTCAGCTTGGAGCTGATCCTTGCAGTCCGGACGAGGTAGGTATATATATTTTATTTGAATATATGTTACATGTTGCAATGCATGAAACATAGTTCTGCATATTACATGTATTAAACACAATGTCCTCTTTTATTAAAATGTATAATCAAAACCACACTCACTAACGCTGTCCTATGCTGCTGTTATAAACATGGCAGTGTAGATCATGTAGACAGTTTCACAACTAGAAGAGAGATAACACCACAAACTTTTTCGACATTTAATTAAAATGTTTTATGTTAATATCAATTATACATCATGACTTTATCTTTGTGGTATATCGTTAAAATGAAAACATAGTATATGTCTTTAGTGTGGACGTACACCACTTCATGACGCTGCTAAGGGTGGTCACAGCGATGTAGTAGCTCTACTCATTCAGCACGGAGCTGATCCCTGCAGTATAGGCTGGGTAGGTATATGTATTTTATTTGAAATATTTGTTATATATTGTAATGCATAATACATAGTTCTTCTAATTACATGTATCAAACAAAATGTCCTCTTAATATATAACCAAAACGCAACACTCACTAACGCTGTATATAGGCCCTATATATGCTGCTGTTATAAACATGCCAGTGTATATCATGTAGATTGTTTCACAAATGAGACAAATATTACACCACAAACTTTTCAACATTTTATTAAAATTCATTTTATTTAAATATCAATTATACATCATGACTTTGCCTTTGTGGTATATCGTTAAAATGAAAATATTTGTATGTCTTTAGTGTGGACGTACACCTCTTCACTACGCTGCTGGGGGTGGTCACAGCGATGTAGCAACTCTACTTATTCAGCACGGAGCTGATCCCTGCAGTACAGACAGGGTAGGTATATGTATTTTATTTGAAATATTTGTTATATATTGTAATGCATGATACATAGTTCTGCCAATTACATGTATCAAACACAATGTCCTCTTAATATATAACCAAAACTCAAAACTCACTAACGCTGTCTATATATATGCTGCTGTTATAAACATGGCAGTGTAGATCATGTAGACAGTTTCACAAATAAGACAGAGATTACACCACAAACTTTTCAACGTTTAATTAAAATGCAATTTATTTTAATATCAGGTATACATCATGACTTTGTGGTATATCGTTAAAATGAAAATATTTGTATATGTCTTTAGTGGCGATGTACACCTCTTCATAACGCTGCTGAGGGTAGTCACAGCGATGTAGCAGCTCTACTCATTCAGCACGGAGCTGATCCCTGCAGTACAGACTGTGTGGGTATATGTATTTTATTTGAAATATTTGTTATATATTGTAATGCATGAAACATAGTTCTGTCAAATACATGTATCAAACACAGTGTCCTCTTAATATATAACCAAAACGCAACACTCACTAACGCTGTCTATATATATATACATATATTTATGCTGCTGTTACCTGTATAAACATGGCAGTGTAGATCATGTAGACAGTTGCACAAATAAGACAGGGATTACACCAAAAACTTTTCAACATTAAATTAAAATGCATTTTATTTTTATATTAATTATACGTCTAGACTTTGTCTTTGTGGTATATCGTTAAAATGTAAATATTTGTATATGTCTTTAGGGTGGACGTACACCTCTTTATAACGCTGCTAAAGGTGGTCACAGTGATGAAGCAGCTCTACTCTTTCAGCACGGAGCTGATCCCTGCAGTACAGATGGGGTAGCTATACATATTTGTATTTGTAATGTATGTTTTATAGTGCGATACATGAAACTTGGCTCTGCTAAATACATGAATTCATCGCCACGTCCACTTAACATATAACCAAAACGCAATATCCGCTATCGCTGTCTATATATGCTGCTGTTATAAACATGGCAGGGTAGATCAAGAAATAGTAGCACATCTAGATTAAGAGAGATTGTGCCACAAACTTTGTCAAACTTTTATTGTAAATGCATTTTATTTCATTTCATTTTAACATCAATTATACATCATGACTTTGTCTTTATGGTATATCATTTAAATGAAAATATGGTGTATCTTTAGCGTAAGCGTACACCTCTTCATGAGGCTGCTAATGGTGGTCACAACGATGTAGCAGCTCTACTCATGTTATTTACTCATCTTTTAAAGATGGTTTTAGTAAATAAATAAATATAATACAGTTGAGTTGGACGCCTTTTTATTGAGCTGCTGCAGGTAGGGATAGTCACAGTGACAGATTGCATGGCATAAACAATGGAAAATTTAAACGTTTTTATAATTTTTTATTAGCATTAAAACTACATGTGCACAGAAAAAGGCTAACTCTGACATCTAGAGTTACTGTTCCGTACTTTGACATATGTAAATGTACTGTACTGGTTCGTTTTATATTAAATTTCATTACAACATTCATGTGTGTATTGTAGTATGATAAACTTACCAGTACATGTGTACCAGAGAGAAACCAGGTGTTGGCAACACTTTTAAAGAAATTCGAGAATCGACTAGTACAGGTGAGCATACTTTGTTACGTTATGTTAACTATTTAAGACATCAGGTCTTTTATCCAGGGAAAGGGGTTGATATATCCCTGTACGTGTGCGTGTACAATTTTTTTTTTTTGAAAATTCAGCCAGGGGATGTCCGACCCCTCTTAATCTGCCAACACGTCGATATTTCGTTCTCCACACATACGTGTTGAGGACAGTTAAAGCAAATTGTACTATTTTAGAACGCAAAGTACTACAAAAAAAAAAAAAAAAAAAAAAAGGTCAGAACAGCGCATGCAAATTTTAATTACTCAAATTGCACACGTCCACTTGCGTTATATAATTATATGTAAGGTTATAAAACGAGTCGAGTGCACAAGTAAAGCGACTCCATTAAATTAATGTCTGGGGTTCATTATTGTGAACTGAACAACATGGCATACAACTCTCAATATATTGGTTCCCTGCCCATCAATTGCAGGTTCTTTATTGGTGATTACCGTAGCCAGATATATCAATGGTTTTGTGAAAATTGTCACAATGAAATTTATTGAATCGAGTTCATGAAGATTTTAAAAAAATATATCCCATCATTATTGGCAAGAGTGTAGGATATCTAGATTAGTTTTAAATATTAAAGGTAATTGTAATCCTTTATTTTCATCCAGATGATATATTTGTCAATGTTAATTTAGTCACTGAACACTGTTCAAAGATATATGATATCTGTTACCCAAAAGAATGCATGCAATGCAGCAAATAAGGAGTTTGGGGCGAAGGTTGACAATATCCTTATACATTCTACAAACACTAAAATATTACTTAATTTTTTAGGAGTCGGCAGCTAACAAAAGCTCTGTGTTATAACTTTATCTTCCAGAACTTCATCCTCATCATGTCTTTGGAACATGTTGCCAGTACAATGAATATTGTTGAGGCTAGTACTCTTTTCAAAGAAGACATGAGTCGCCATTTCCCAAGAGAACGTCATAACAAGAAGTTAGAAATGTTGAGGAATTGGGCAGACGCTTATGGAATTAAATCTCTCCAAGAGTTAAAGAGGAGATTGGCGGAGGCAGGTTGTCTAAACTTGGCTGGTGAGTGATAGATATCTGAAAATTATGAGTACATGTACAGGTACTTCCATTTACTTGTAGGAATATTTGCATGTTTACCACGGCATGTTTAAGTTTTTAAAGCAATACTAGTATATATATCACATACATTTAAATGTTTTAATTAAACATACAGCAGTCAAAGGAACACCCACTATTAATAGATATACCTGTTCTATAGCGGCGGCTGCAAAGCACTATGCTGAGATCGTCAAAGAGATTATGGAAATGCCCGACGAATGCTACCAAGCATTTTGTCAAGATCCCATGTCACACCGACACATGATATCATCGGCGGCCTCTCCCACAGAACAGAGATGTGAAATTAGGTATATATGATGCACAAGTGTGTGTGTAAACGTGTGTGTTTATGTGCGCCCGCGCGCGTGTGTAAAATCATATATATATATATATATATATATATATATATATATATAAGCCCTCGCTGTACTCAGTTGTTATATGCAAGTGTAAGTTACACAAAAACACTCGTCCCTACGTGAAAGAGAAATTTCGTTTCTTTTACTAAATAATGAGACTTATATTGGTTTCAGTATGGAGACCGAGTCGTACCAATACGATGCATTTCTGGTACATAGTAGTGATGACGGAAAGACCGTAGGAGGAGTGTGTGAGCAACTCGAGGCACGTGGTGTCCGTTGTTGTTACGCTCCACGTGACTTCACTTATGGGAAGCCCATCCCAGCATCCACGGAAGACGCATTTGAAAAATCCAAATTCATCCTGGTGGTATTTTCTGAAAACTTCATGAAGAGCTCTTGGTGTCAGTACGAAATGCACATGGCGGTACAGAAGACGGTGGATTCACGTCAGGACGTCGTCATTCCAATCCTGTTGGATTTCCCAGAGGAGAACCTCCCGCTTGGGTTTAAAACCATGAAATATATTTCAGTTCGACAGCATGACTTCTTACCCAAACTTGTTCAAACTATTGAAGGTACGTAATTAACATGGCAATCGTTCTATGTACATTGTACTGGTAAATCCAGTTAACCAAAGTAACCAGATACTGTGTGATAGAATGTCATGGATATCATGGAGGGTGGGCGGGTCTTGCATCAGTGTAACGAAACTAAGGGTAGTATAAAATTAAGTCCGCCCTCCATTCAGTTAGAACGGTTAGGGTTAGCCTGGCCTAAATGGTTCAGTACCTAGGGCGAGGTTTACCTGTATAAATGAAGAAGAAGAGGTCTCTCCTAATGGGGGACCCTCTGTCACGTTACACCGGTTTGTTTATAAACCCATTTTTGTCTTACTTAAGAAACTGATCTATTTCCTCCATCCTCTATATGCATTTGCCTTTATGAGGTCGTGCAGAAATTAACGGTAATACACCAGTAGTATAAACACTGTTTCTGTTATTATTATGAAGGTGAGCCGGCTGGTTTTGGGTTTTGGTTTTGTTAATAAATTCGTGTTTTTTTTTTCTTCAGGCTCCGGCACCGAGCCTCTTTACGGCCAGCTTCTGCTCGAAAATCAAACATTGAAACTAGAGAATGAAGTGCTGAAAGCGGAACTTGAAGACACGCGCCAACGATTGGCAGATTCCACCACTTTGGTCAAAAGACTTCAGGCGGCAATGCCAGCGACAGGAGTTCCCAGTTAGAACATACAGCTAGAAACGTGGTGCAGAAAACTTCTGTGGATTATGTGTGGAATAATTACGCTTAAAGTGTCCTCAGATTTCTGTACTCAATTTAACCTCATTTGTGATTTACATAATTCCCAGCTGCCTCTGTCTCTACATGCAGCGCAGGTTCATCAGCCCTATAGAGCACGCAATGCTGGTCAGCCGGATCATAGGGAAATATGTACATGTGGTTCGATCCTTGTACCTTAAGTTTTTCAGACACTTTGTTCGAAAGTTTGTCCATAAATCAAAGTATGATTTGGGGACGTTTTCAAGTTCGTACACTGCTGTTCCTTGGGCAACTGTGCATTGGGTTCTAGTCTGAGACCGATTTCACGCAAAACGAAAGTTAAGACGTCATCTTCAACATCAAATTACATGTACTAGTAGTTGTCTGACATTGCCTATGTAGCAAAGCTTGTAAGATTATATTTTTAATGGAGTAATCGCTTTTGATTTCCCTTTCCGCTTGGATTATTTTCAGCTTTTTATTGAGAATATTTGATTGTGTATGTTGATTTTATCATAATAATGATAAAACAGTAATTTACAGTAATTGAGTAAATTAATTATTTTGATGTTTAGTCTCTTTAAAGACCACATTATTTGGATTGGTCTATAACTATATACGTTTTATGGATGTCAATAATGCAGGCTCATTTGATATTGCCTTTTAGTTTATATTTAACCTCATTTGTGAATACAAGTTTAGTACGAGTCCAAATGAAGTACAGTTGTTAGATGTTAGGATAGGATGAGTGTGTTGTTCTTAAAATTCAACGTCATCTGATTTGTTCATCTTTATTCAGTTTTCACCCATAACTAGTTCTGTTGACATTCCTTTTGTTTCCAAGATGATTTCATGTTTACAACAGATTATGTTGTACAGAATGAATATTTTTTACCTCCGCCAAGGAGGAGGTTATGTTTTCGCCCCTGTTTGTCTGTCTGTCTGTCTGTTTGTTTGTCGTCAACATAACCCAAAAAGTTATGGACCGATTTTGATGAAATTTTCAGGGTAGGTGGGAAATGGGTTAACTTAGAAGTGATTAGTTTTTGGTGGTGATCCAGATCATTAATCAATCAATAATCAAAAACCTACATCAACATAACTCAAAAAGTTATGGACCGATTTTGATGAAATTTTCAGGGTAGGTAGGAAATGGGTTAACTTAGAAGTGATTAGTTTTTGGTGGTGATCCAGAACATTAATCAATCAATAATCAAAAACCAATCATCAACATAACCCAAAAAGTTATGGACCGATTTTGATGAAATTTTCAGGAACTGTCAAAAGTGGGCCAAGGAACAGATGATTAGTTTTTGATCCGGATCAATAATCAATAATAATAAAAAATTGCTGCCTTGACGGAGGTCTGTGCTCTCGGAGTGATTTTCTAGTGTTAACAAAGAATAAAAAGAGTTGTGCAAAAATTTATTTGCAAAAGTTTATTCACATATAAGGGATAAAGTAACATATCTGAGAAAAAGGATATTTTATAATTGCTAGTATATATAATCACATCCAGAATATACATAGAGAGACAGATGGCTGATAAAAATATACAAGAACATATTTTGGAAAAAACATACATTTCTCAATATCTAGAGTATATAAAATGCTTACAAAAAGCTATCAGACATTTCAAAGTGCAACATATTTGTCATATATATATTGAATAAATGAAAATACTCCATTACACAGAGACAAAAGCTTTCTTTATTTGACATCGTGAATATATAACAAGAATAAATAGGGAAAATAAGAATTTATGAACTAAAATAATGTAACTCACTTATAATGAGGACGCTGTAATCCACAAATACAGAATTGCTAACGAGTACCACAGACATGTGTATTTCAAAAGATATCAAACTGAAGAAAATCAAATTTCAATGTTTCAAGGTAAATGCAAATATCTGACTTTTAGATAAAGGACTCAAACAAACAGAATGACATTGTAGCCTCTACTCTTGATTAAAAAAGGAAGAAAACTGCAGTAAAACAGTGTGAGATTGTGTCTGTATATTATCCCTTTCACCATAAATAAATAAAGAAATAAATGTCATGACAGACAGTAAACCCAGAATTAAAGAAATATTATCAGCTGTAGAAGTTTGATCAAAAGGATCCAATCATCAGCTGTAGAGTCCTTGTTTTAAGTATAACATACTACACATATTATGATTCAAGTCCAGTCTGAGAAAAATGTCAAACTACATGATATTTTTAAATCTCCATTTGGAGGCCAAACCCAACTGCAGGATCAGAGAGGACTTATCACCTCCTGGCTAGGTCCCAACAACTAGACTGGGCACATCAAACACATGCTGGTGGTAATACACACACCTCATTGAAAATAACAACTCATAAAATCTTACTGGAATGTCCATAGCAACTGGTTTTTCCAAAGTTTCTATTTACAACCCATCAGGCTTCCTCCTCCCTCCCCAATATGAAAGAATGTCTCATTAAAGAAATGCAGGAGATTGTTTTGCCAAGAAAAAAAGGAATACTTCACTCACAGACTTTTTCCTTATCAAATTCTTCACTATCTTAAAATCGCTTTTTTACCGCAGAGAAATACAATGAAAAATCACATTTTTTTCCAAAGGTAAACATATTATGTACATATTAGAAATAACATACAAATGTACCATCATATATACCACTAGATTGAGCCAACAAGTGTGCTCAAAGATACCAAGACAAAAATAACTGAGAAATAAAATTATAAAATAAAATAAATGGACAAAAAAATGATATCATATATTCAAAAATAATTGAAGTAAAATGTAAAGTATGTCATTTTCTCTACAAATGGAATCTCCACTGCCTTTGCATTCAACAGACTTCTCTACTCTTCACAAACCAAGTCGGTGAACCTCCTCTATTTTAGTCTGATAATGTCAAGGTCACAGCAGCTACCAATACAGCGGCATGAACATCATCGAGCCCAGTGCAGCTCCAGCAACCATCCCCAGGGCCACGTCACTGCCGTCTATGCTGTTTCTTCTTCTGCGTCTGCATCCATCTACAGGATAATAATTTCCGTCTACGTACACTACTTGCTGCTGTCCAGAGTGTTGAACTGAAATAACCAATAAAAATGTACAACATCCTTTCCATCTCTCAAAATAAATGGTCTTTGTCAGTAGCTTTCTGTCTAAATTTGTTTTATGACTAAAAATGGTTATTTTGTAATCTGGCAATCAATGGTTTTGTTGGTTATCAAGAGGCATATTTTTCATTTTCATTTTCTTTAGCTTAAAAAAAAAAAAGATATAAAATAAATTTTTTAATCAGCTGAAAACCTGTTTTAAACCATTTGTTTCAAACCAGCCTGCAAACGGCTTCAAACCAGTCTCACGCCACCTTTACACAAAAACTAAAACCAGCTTTTTAATCATCTTAAAACCTCCTATAAAGCAGTTTAAAACCAGCCATAGACCTGCTAACAGCCCCAGCCTTATTACCTATGGGAGGTGGGTTTGACCCATAGTAAACTTGGCCAGGATAACTATATGCTACTTGCTGGCGTGGATATGGAGTGGAACCCGCCGTCATTTGCTGTTGGGGATATGTAGTAGAAGCCGCCGCCATTTGCTGTTGGGGATATGGAGTAGAAGCCGCTGCCATTTGCTGTTGTGAATACCCAGCACCACTGGACATGTTCTCTTGATACACATGTACATATGGAGGCGCTGAAGCCAAGGTTTGGGGTTGGGAGTAAGGGAACTGTCCCCCATTTGTTCCTGTAGTACCAACTGCTTCAGAATATGTGGGTGGGGCATCCTTGGCGCTCCTTGTAGTCAGGACTCTGGCCTGTTCTAAGGCTATCTTCCAGGCACTGGAAAATATAGTGGCATAAAACTCAACATTGAGGGTTATTGTCTTTTTTTTCGTTAATGAATCAAATAAATTAAGGATTATTGTTTTTTTTTTTGTTTTTTTATAAACGGATCAACTGAATTAACATTATATATATTATATAAGCACTGGAAAACAGTGTCATACAACTCAAGGTTGAGGATTCTCGTCTTTTTTTTATATAAATGAAGCAACTGAATTATCACTATATTATATAAGATTTATTTTCATCTGTTACAGGATGAGGTTGATAAATTTGTTTTTAAGTAATAATGATAATTACAGTACTGCCTCTTCCCCCGATATGTTTGTTGCTTTGTTTGTAAATGTGTGTGTGTGTGTGTGTGTGTGTGTGTGTTTTCTTACGTCATATCATCTAACGTATCAGCACACAGTTGGTAAGTGTTATTGCCTCTTCCGACAATCTTCAGCAGACACTCTTTACCAGTGCCCTCTGGGGGAGTGACACCACACTGAAAATAGTTTTAAATCAATTGGTTCACTAATCAAGAAATTAATGTGCAATAAAGTATCTCTTTTTTTTTTCAATAACCTACATCTAAAACAGACTACCAGTTTTCAATGATTTTCACACAATTTTTTTCAAAGTCGGTCAGACTAATTAGTTGTTCTCAGCAAAAGTTTTGTGTATGTAATATTCCTTGGTTTAACTTATCCAGTAATTAGTGTGTGTGTGTGCATGCGTGCGTGCGTGCGTGCGTGTGTGTGTGTGTACACAACTGTGCCCCATACCTGTTCTCCAGACAGAATAGCCAGACATTCTATCTTCATCACCAGAGTCCACTCCGAGTAATGGCTGTCGGCACTCTCAAACATTTTCAAGTCACCATTTTGATAGAGGACAAACCAGTTACGTTTCCACCTTCGCAGAATTGAACCTAAGCAGAATAATTAATGTATCATTACATAAACCAATGAGTTCTGTTGCCAAAATAGGTATACCTTGGATGTGTTATCTTCTGATAAGTGGCAAATGAAATGAAACTTTATTCATAATCATTTTCAAATGAACATCAAGCTAATCATTTGAATTTAATTTTTAAAAACACAAACTTGAGACATATGATGACTTAAATCATACCTTACAACAGTAAATTTTTATGACAAATTTTTGAGAGTGAAACTGGTAACTACAGTAGTATTGTACATGTTTGGCAATCATAACATGAAAAACATTGAGGAAGCAGATAACTTACTCTGTCTTTGAAGCCATCCTGCTTTTACAATGTTGAAATCTGCCATGAGCAGTTAACATGAACAGTTCAACCCAATCTAGAATGAACAGATTACGGTAGTGTGAACAGTGTATATAACTATGAATGTACAAATTACGACAGTAGTTCATACATGTACATGTGCATGCATATAAATAAAATAACATGATTTCAGACTACAGTCTATAGGCTGTATAGTCAAATCAAGGAGTTATAATATAACTCCTTGGTCAAATTAACTACAGTGCTGGTAAAGTTTACATGATATAGACTATAGACAAATATGTCTTGTTTAACATGTACTAGTACATGTACAAACTACAGTACACTGTTAGAAGAATGCTAACACTTGTTACAATTTAATTTATAATTCAGTTATTTACGTTTATCTCCGACTGAGGGTGAACACTTTCTGGTAGTGGTATAAGAACGTGAAATAATACTGTACTGTATAAATACTGGCAAATTTTACATTATGTCAAAATTTATGGTACTCATTTTTGACATGAACTTAGCAGTGATCAATACTAACTAAACATTTACTTTTAAAAACCTCTCAACTCTTTAAATAACTGGTTACTCACTTTAAAATGTAAGCTTATATGTCAAATCGTTGTGTTTACAGTTACGAGATGAGCGACACATCAGCTTCCTAGATGCGCAGAACTTTTAGTACACCGTGATGTGGATAGGTGGCGACTCTATGCAGGAAAAGCTGTGTAATATGCTGCGAGTGGGGTCGAGAGGTAACCAAGGTTTCTATTCTGTCGCCTTTTTAACAGTTAAGTGGTGAAAGTTTGGTATTTTAATCTGGTGCCACTTCTTCTTCGTTTGTTTGAGCATTGCAAGGGACTTACAACTCTATAATTTACAGGTAGTAACAGCATTCACTCACAGGGTTAAACTGCACACTAGCCGGACATTGTCTGATAAAACAGTAATTTTATTTTCCCGCTTGAACTTCAAGCTTGGTCGCCAACGACGTTTTGATTTTGTCATTTTTACAGATATCATACTCAAATGAATTCAGTTATGGCCAGGGATAATAGCTTTCTTTGTTCTCCTAAGGCCTAATTTGTCTTGCATTGTTTGCAATTGCATAAACGGACGCATACACTTCGACAGGGGGCCTGCCAATGCATTTCACAAGCCTACAAAGAGATTTTCCCAGCCACCCCCTCCTTCAGAGAGTACAAGATGAAAGTCTTCAAATTATTATGTCTTTTGTTGGCAAATTTTGACAGCAATTCGGCTCCGATCATGATTTTTATCATTTTTGCAGGAGTGAGGGCATTTACTCCCCCCCCCCTTCCCCCGTAAAGTTTCTAGACTTGTGAAAATGACGTCCCCTTAGTTAGGCCTTGAACATCAAATGCCCAGATTTTGTGACAGTAGTACTTCCATTCCAGTATATTTCTAGAAAAGGTTGCTGGAGGCTGCATGTAGTATAGAAGGGTAGGAATACCCCCCCCCCCCCCCCCCTTAATCACCCATCACTAAGAATGAAAACAGCTCAATCACCAATAACAAAGTTACATGTATATTCAGGTCAATCACCAATCACTAAAAATTCCTGAATCATGTTTCACTCTGAATATTGGGCTCAAATAGTGCATCACGCTAAAAAAAACAAGGCCAATCACGCGGAACACAAAAGGTATTCCCTACCGTCCTATACATGTATGACCTACATTGTACTGTGGCACATCATCCAAATACATGTACTTCATGTCCAAGTTCAGTGTGGATTGTAATATACTTTACCTTGCACTCTTTTAGGACACTAAATTTAGGAGTAATGCAGAGGACGTCCCAACAAATCCCAGGTGATGACAGTGACAGTTCAGGTGATATACCTTTGTCACAGCTGCGCACACCAAGAACACAACAGAAAGACCCCCCAGGAGATCCATACAAAACCCCAGGGGTGACTCCCAGGGCCTCGGACAGAATAAAAAGCCGAAAAGCCCAGACATTTGTAATGCCAAACAAGAGGGATGTGTTTGACAAAATTGAAGTCCCTTCCAATGGCAAGTGCTCATCTTATGAGCACCTGAAACCTCGTCGGATTGTGAATGATTTTATACGAGTAAATCATCGCTATAATTTTGATCCGGACTACACCAGTGGTGAGGATTCGTCACTGGATGGGTTTCTGGCCGAAAATAATTCAGAAGAAGAAGAAGATGAGGAGGATGATGAAGACACTTTTCGACACAGTAATTCCAAGAAGAAAAAGAATTGTGGTTTACAGAAGAGAAGAACTTCAAGTTTTTCATCAGTTAAATCGGGTGATAAAACCGACACGGGTTCAAAATTTAAAAGAATCAGAACAATTGCGGACGATTCCAGTGACGAAGATGGTCAAAATGCAGATGACAGTGATTCTGATGTTCCTGTGAAAAAAGTGCGAAAGTTTTCCCATGGTGGTTCAGTGTCAGGCGTCATAGATGATGACAGTGATGACTGATATGCAATCAATGAATATTAAATTCAACGTATACCTGTATAAAGTGTTATAAAAATAAGCTGTTAATACTCCATTTCCAGTTCTTTCTTTCCTTTTCTTTCATCCTTTGTTTTTTTTGAAACCAGTAGATTTGAACATAATTTTACATCTTAGCTGCAAAGTCTTTGCTGTTATACCGCATGTGATCATATGTGAAAATTTGTTTAAAATTTAAAAGAAAGTGGGAACCATTTTGTATGTGAAATAATTATTCTAATTTGTAAAAAGTCATTGTTACAATAGCAGCTTCTCAGATTTCTAATTGGAAAAGGTTAATAAGATATTTAATTAATTTTTTGAAAAATGCCAAAAAATTAATGAGAAAAAGCTTAGCAGTGGGTGGGATCATATACATAGCACAGTTTTATTTATCCAAGACTTAAATATTTACTGAAAGTTTCAAGTAAAAAAAAACTTTTTAATGAGAAGCTGAAATATGTTTTCACCTCAAATGACAATAATTTGATGTACTAAGAGAAGTACTTATATTGTCAATCAGGTTTTCATAGACCGGTTTGACAGTGAAAATGTANATAAATAAATAAATAAATAAATAAATAAATAAATATCGGTAGATAGAATATGTATATACTGTAGTTATAAAATAGGTAGTAAAACCTTCTGTTTGTACGTTTCGTACACAAATACTGCACTTTTGCTTTAGAACTACTCGCATTAGGGATACGAAACATTTAGAATTCCCAGCGTCATTACAAAAAAAATATATGATATCTCCGAAAAGATATTAAGAAGTACTGTAGTGATTTATATCAATACTGTGGTCAAGATGAAACAATTTTTATATTTTATACTGGTTATTTTATACATCTAGCACGTACCAGTATATAATTTCTCTTTGGAAACATTGTATCTATATATATGTGTTACCAAGTAAACACAATCGGGACTTTTCCGGCATCCCCACTGCCTAGTCCTCGTAGCAAGGTTCACTGATTTTGAATTAACTGGGTGTGCTTGTAACCTTTTGAATGTAGGACCGTGTACGTACAGTTGTACAAATGAATTAGATTGTGAATCTGAAGGTTTATTTTACAATAAATTTTAGTATGTGCCAACTGTGATTTTGAACAGGATTTACAATGGAGGACTTTTTTTAAATCCCAGCATTCTATATGCTGAGAATGACATTTGTGTGAAACCTAATCAAATAATTTCATTTAAAAACTGTTAATTATTTTCGAAATTTATCACATGACATTGAACTTTTGTTTATTTTATTTATTTGTCCATATTTATTCATTTATTTCTTTATTCATTTATATTTGGCCGGGTGAAAGGTGAAGAAAATCTCCCCCTGGCAATTGTCATGTAAAGGCATTTCAAAATATGCATTACCTGTTTATCTGTGTCTGGTGCTTATCATGTGAATATAGAAAATGGATAATAACCATTCCAGGTGGACTGTGCAAACCACGCCTGCAGTAAGAGGTCACTGTGTTTCCAATATACAGTCTCATAAGAATGTACCCACTCCACGAGGCTGCAGAGAGTGGTGATATCAACAAAGTGCGGGGACTGTTAGAGACTGGAGCATGGTACGTAAACGAGAGGACGGATGAATGGGGTGTAAGTTTGCCTGTCTTGAGATCAATAATGAAAAGTAGTTGCTCTCATACTACTTGATAGCTTTATGGAATATAATTAGTCATTAAAATTCATATAATAAAATAAGGTATATGTATACGTGCTATTACAGAATGCATTTATAAATACCGAGTATAGTCTCAGCAAAGGACAGAAGGTCGATTATATTGAGCGTTAATGACATTTTCACATAGTAGAATTTGATGTATATAACAGGTATTGCATTGAATAGAAGCTTTTTTATATTAGCTGAAGAACGATAAGCTGCATCTCCGATGTATCATAAACACCCCATTTTCAAACGCCGTCATCAAATAGACCGCCTCTACACTGCGGTAATCATGGTGTTGAACGTCTGACATAAATCCTGGGGAACACTAATGTTTAATTAAGTAGTAAATTGATCAACTAGATAATTTATTCATTATGCTACTGTCGTGATAGGATATGAAAACAGTATATCTTCGGAGTAGTCAAACTCATTTTCATAACGCTGCCTATGGTGTAGACGCAACGTCGCATATAATTGTTACTTTATCGTGAGGCACAAACAACGGGCACACTTCTTAATGATTTATATATTTATTTATTCATTTATGTCACTGATATATCATAATTATGGCCACATGACATAATCGTTGACCTAAAAAATTCTGCATCTTCAGGATGGACGTACACCTCTTCATTTTGCTGCTGAGGGTGGTCACAGCGATGTAGTAGCTCTACTCATTCAGCACGGAGCTGATCCCTGCAGTACAGACCTTGTAGGTATATGTATTTTATTTGAAATATTAGTTATATATTGTAATGCATAATACATAGTTCTTCTAATTACATGTATCAAACAAAATGTCCTCTTAATATATAACCAAAACGCAACACTCATTAACGCTGTCTATATATATATGCTGCTGTTATAAACATGGCAGTGTAGATCATGTAGACTGTTTCACAAATGAGACAAATATTACACCACAATCTTTTCAACATTTTATTAAAATTCATTTTATTTAAATATCAATTAAACATCATGACTTTGCCTTTGTGGTATATCGTTAAAATGAAAATATTTGTATATGTCTTTAGTGTGGACGTACACCTCTTCATGACGCTGCTACGCATGGTCACAGCGATGTAGCAGCTCTACTCATTCAGCACGGAGCTGATCCCTGCAGTAGAGACGAGGTAGGTATATGTATTTTATTTGAAATATTTGTTATATATTGTAATGCATGATACATAGTTCTGCCAATTGCATGTATCAAACAAAATGTCCTCTTAATATATAACCAAAACGCAACACTCACTAACGCTGTCTATATATATATGCTGCTGTTACCTGTATAAACATGGCAGTGTAGATCATGTAGACAGTTGTACAAATAAGACGGAGATTACACCACAAACTTTTCAACATTTAATTGAAACGCATTTTATTTTAATATCAATTATACATTATGACTTTGTCTTTATGGTATATAGTTTTAATGAAAACATTGTATATCTTCAGCATGGTAGTACACCTCTTCATGACGCTGCTGGGGGTGGTCACAGCGATGTAGCAGCTCTGCTCATTCAGCACGGAGCTGATCCTTGCAGTACAGACAGGGTAGGTATATGTATTTTATTTGAAATATTTGTTATATATTGTAATGCATGATACATAGTTCTGCCAATTGCATGTATCAAACAAAATGTCCTCTTAATATATAACCAAAACGCAACACTCACTAACGCTGTCTATATATATGCTGCTGTTACCTGTATAAACATGGCAGTGTAGATCATGTAGACAGTTGTACAAATAAGACGGAGATTACACCACAAACTTTTCAACATTTAATTGAAACGCGTTTTATTTTAATATCAATTATACATTATGACTTTGTCTTTATGGTATATAGTTTTAATGAAAACATTGTATATCTTCAGTATGGTAGTACACCTCTTCATTACGCTGCGGGGGGTGGTCACAGCGATGTAGCAGCTCTGCTCATTCAGCACGGAGCTGATCCTTGCAGTACAGACTGTGTAGGTATATGTATTTTATTTGAAATATTTGTTATATATTGTAATGCATGATACATAGTTCTGCCAATTGCATGTATCAAACAAAATGTCCTCTTAATATATAACCAAAACGCAACACTCACTAACGCTGTCTATATATATATGCTGCTGTTACCTGTATAAACATGGCAGTGTAGATCATGTAGACAGTTGTACAAATAAGACGGAGATTACACCACAAACTTTTCAACATTTAATTGAAACGCGTTTTATTTTAATATCAATTATACATTATGACTTTGTCTTTATGGTATATAGTTTTAATGAAAACATTGTATATCTTCAGTTTGGTAGTACACCTCTTCATTACGCTGCTGGGGGTGGTCACAGCGATGTAGCAGCTCTACTCATTCAGCACGGAGCTGATCCTTGCAGTACAGACAGGGTAGGTATATGTATTTTATTTGAAATATTTGTTATATATTGTAATGCATGATACATAGTTCTGACAAATATATGTATCAAACGGCACGTCCACTTAATATTAAACCAAAACGCAACACTCACTAACGCTGTCTATATGCTGTAGTTATAAACATGGCAGTGTAGATCTAGAGACAGTTTCACAAAAAAGAGAGAGACTACACCACGAGCTTTTTCAACATTCAATTAAAATTGATTTTATTTTAATATCAATTATATATCATGACTTTGTCTTGATGGTATATCGTTAAATGAACACATTGTGTATCTTCAGGATGGTCGTACACCTCTTCATAACGCTGCTAGTGGTGGTCACAGCGATGTAGCAGCTCTACTCATTCAGCACGGAGCTGATCTTTGCAGTACAAAGGAGGTGGGTGTATATATTTGGTTTGAAATATACTTTATATAGTGCAATGCATTAACATAGCTCTGCCAAATACACGTATCAAACGCCACGTCCACTTAATATATAACCAAAACGCAACATTCACTAACGCTGTCTACGGGTATATGCTGTCGTTATAACCACGGCAGTGTAGATTTACAGACAGTTGCACAACTAGAAGAGAGATTACAACACAAGCATTTTCAACATTTAATTAAAATGGATTTTATTTTAATATCAGTTATACATCATGACTTTGTCTTGATGGTTTATCGTTAAATGAAAACATTGTATATCTTCAGCATGGTCGTTCACCTCTTCATGAGGCTGCTAAGGGTGGTAACAGCGATGTAGCAGCTCTACTCATTCAGCACGGAGCTGATCTCTGTAGTAAAGACACGGTAGGTATATATATTTTATTTGAAATATTTGTTATATATTGTAATGCATGATACATAGTTCTGTCAAATACATGTATCAAACACAATGTCCTCTTAATATATAACCAAAACTCCACAATCACTATCAAGCTGTCTATATGCTGCTGTTATATACGTGGCAGTGTAGATCATGTATACAGTATCACAACTAGAAGAGAGATTACACCACAGACTTTTCAACATTTAATTAAAGTGTATTTTATTTTTATATTAATTATACATCATGACTTTGTGGTATATGGTTAAAATATAAACATTGTATATGTCTTTAGTGGGGTCGTACACCTCTTCATTACGCTGCTAAGGGTGGTCACAGCGATGTAGCAGTTCTACTCATTCAGCAGGGAGCTGATCCCTGCAGTACAGACTCGGTAGGTAGACCACACGTACAATGCCTATGCACTTGTATGCCACTTCAACAACACTGTCGAGTTTGCAAAGCTTAAACAATTAACCATTTTATTAATATTTATTATATTTACACATGCCTATAATATCTGAATGACATGTAGATTAAGAGAAGAAATTGACTATCATCTTACAGTTGAGTTGGACGCCTTTCTATTGAGCTGCTTCAGGTAAGGATAGTCACAGTGGTAGATTGCATGGCATAAACAATGGAAGCATTTAAACGGTTTTATAATGTATTTAGAAGCATTAAAATTACATGTGCATAGAAAAGGGCAAACTCTGACATCTAGACTTACTGTTCTGTACTCTGACATATGTAAATGTACTGTACTGTCTCGTTTCATATTTAATTTCATTACAACATTAATGTGTTTATTGTAGGATGGTTGTCGTCCCAGCGGTATTTTGAGATGGGGAAACCAGTGGTTAGCAGCACTTTTAAAGAAATTCGAGAAAGGACTAGTACAGGTGAGCATACTATGTTATGTAATATCAACTATTTAAGGCATCAGGTCTTATATCCAGGGGAAGGGGTTGATATACCCCTCTACGTATGCGTGTACTATTTTTTTTTTTTTTTTTTTTTTGAAAATTTAGCCAGGGGATGTCCGGCCCCTCTAAATCTGCCAACACGTCGATATTTCGTTCTTCACACATACTTTGTACGTGTTGAGGACAGTTAAAGCAAACTGTACGATTTTAGAATACAAAGTACAAAAAAAAAAAAAAAAAAAAAAAAAAAAAAAAAAAAAAAAAAAAAAAAAAAAAAANTCATACTTCCTAGGGGCACTTTCTTGCTATGGAGCTCTCTTTCCAAAACTTTATAAGTTTTGCCAAGATCAATTAACCTTTTTACGTGTATTCTTTTTGAGGCAACTCGTCTATCTTTAGGGGCCTAATTACTGTTCCTGGGTCAAGTTGTAACTGACCCTTTAACATGGAAGGTGTGTTGACATGGGCAACCCTTCACTTCAAACGAAGCCCTGAATCCTCAAGAAAATTATGCCCACCTTGCCGACTTTGACATTCAGGTACACAACAATACTGAGGCATGTTTATTAAGGCCAGTACCACAGTCCAACGTATACAATATCCAACATGGCGACCTAGGAAGGACTGAATTCACACTAGCGACACCTGGCGCCAAGCGGGCTGGTATTCCCCATTGAAGAGTGTTTATTGGTGATTACCGTAGCCAGATATATCAGTGGTCTTGTAAAAATTGTTACAATGAAATTTATTGAATTGAATACATGAAGATTTTTAAAAAATATATTCCATCATTATTGGCAAGGGTGTATGATATAAAGATTGGTTTAATTATTCGAGGTTATCGTAACCCTTTATTTTCATTCAGATGATATATTTGTAAATGTTTATTACTTTAGTCACTGGACACTGAAGATTTATCTATTGCCCAAAAGAATGTATGTAATGCAGTAAGTAAGGAATTTTGGGCAAAGATTGACAATATTTCCTTGAACATTCTTTCAACACTAAAATTTTGTAGAGTCGGCAGCTAACAAAATCTCTGTGTTATAATTTTATCTTCCAGAACTTCATCCTCACCATGTCTTTGGAACATGTTGCCAGTGCAATGAATATTGTTGAGGCTAATACTCTTTTCAAAGAAGACATGAGTCGCCATTTCCCAAGAGAACGTCATAACAAGAAGTTAGAAATGTTGAGGAATTGGGCAGACGCTTATGGAATTAAATCTCTCCAAGAGTTAAAGAGGAGATTGGCGGAGGCAGGTTGTCTAAACTTGGCTGGTGAGTGATAGATATCTGAAAATTATGAGTACATGTACAGGTACTTTTATTTACTTGTAGGGATATATGCATGTTTACCACGGCATGTTTAAGTTTTTTAAAGCAATACTAGTATATATATCACATACATTTAAATGTTTTAATTAAACATACAGCAGTCAAGGGAACACCCAATATTAATAGATATACCTGTTCTATAGCGGCTGCTGCAAAGCACTATGCTGAGATCGTCAAAGAGATTATGGAAATGCCCGACGAATGCTACAAAGCATTTTGTCAAGATCCCATGTCACAACGGCACATGATATCATCGGCGGCCTCTCCCACAGAACAGAGATGTGAAATTAGGTATATATGATGCACAAGTGTGTGTGTAAACGTGTGTGTTTATGTGCGCGCGGACGTGTGTAAAATCATATATATATATATATATATATATAAGCCCTCGCTGTACTCAGTTGTTATATCCAAGTGAAGTCACACAAAAACACTCGTCCCTACGTGAAAGAGAAATTTCGTTTCTTTTCCTAAATAATGAGACTAATATTGGTTTCAGTATGGAGACCGAGTCGTACCAATACGATGCATTTCTGGTACATAGTAGTGATGACGGAAAGACCGTAGGAGGAGTGTGTGAGCAACTCGAGGCACGTGGTGTCCGTTGTTGTTACGCTCCACGTGACTTCACTTATGGGAAGCCCATCCCAGCATCCACGGAAGACGCATTTGAAAAATCCAAATTCATCCTGGTGGTATTTTCTGAAAACTTCATGAAGAGCTCTTGGTGTCAGTACGAAATGCACATGGCGGTACAGAAGACGGTGGATTCACGTCAGGACGTCGTCATTCCAATCCTGTTGGATTTCCCAGAGGAGAACCTCCCGCTTGGGTTTAAAACCATGAAATATATTTCAGTTCGACAGCATGACTTCTTACCCAAACTTGTTCAAACTATTGAAGGTACGTAATTAACATGGCAATCGTTCTATGCACATTGTACTGGTAAATCCAGTTAACCAAAGTAACCAGATACTGTGTGATAGAATGTCATGGATATCATGGAGGGTGGGCGGGTCTTGCATCAGTGTAACGAAACTAAGGGTAGTATAAAATTAAGTCCGCCCTCCATTCAGTTAGAACGGTTAGGGTTAGCCTGGCCTAAATGGTTCAGTATCTAGGGCGAGGTTTACCTGTATAAATGAAGAAGAAGAGGTCTCTCCTAATGGGGGACCCTCTATCACGTTACACCTCTTTGTTTATAAACCCATTTTTGTCTTACTTAAGAAACTGATCTATTTCCTCCATCCTCTATATGCATTTGTCTTTATGAGGTCGTGCAGAAATTAACGGTAATACACCAGTAGTATAAACACTGTTTCTGTTATTATTATGAAGAAGGTGAGCCGGCTGGTTTTGGGTTATTGTTAATAAATTGATGTTTGTTTGATTGTTTTTTTTTCAGGCTCCGGCACCGAGCCTCTTTACGGCCAGCTTCTGGCGGAAAATCAAAAATTGAAAGCGGAACTTGAAGACACGCGCCAACGACTGGCAGATTCCACCACTTTGGTCAAAAGACTTCAGGCGGCAATGCCAGCGACAGGAGTTCCGAGTTAGAGCATACGGCTAGAAACGTGGTGCAGAAAACTTCTATGTGTGGAATAATTATGCTTTAAGTGACCTCAGATTTCTGTAATCAATTTAACCTCATTTGTGATTTACATAATTCCCAGCTGTCTCTACATGCAGTGCGGCACAGGTTCATCAGCCCTATAGAGCACGCAATGCTGGTCAGCCGGATCATAGGGAAATATGTACATGTGGTTCGATCCTTGTACCTTAAGTTTTTCAGACACTTTGTTCGAAAGTTTGTCCATAAATCAAAGTATGATTTGGGGACGTTTTCAAGTTCGTACACTGCTGTTCCTTGGGCAACTGTGCATTGGGTTCTAGTCTGAGGGCGTTTTCACACAAAACGAAAGTTAAGACGTCATCTTCAACATCAAATTACATGTACTAGTAGTTGTCTGACATTGCCTATGTAGCAAAGCTTATAAGTCTACACATGTAATGGAGTAATCGCTTTTGATTTCCCTTTCCACTTGGATTATTTTCAGCTTTTTATTGAGAATATTTGATTGTGTATGTTGATTTTTCTTTTGCATAATGATGATAAAACAGTAATTTACAGTAATTGAGTAAATTAATTATTTGGATGTTTAGTCTCTTTAAAGACCACATTATTTGGATTGGTCTATAACTATATACGTTTTATGGATGTTAATAATGCAGGCTCATTTGATATTGCCTTTTAGTTTATATTTAACCTCATTTGTGAATACAAGTTTAGTACGAGTCCAAATGAAGTACAGTTGTTAGATGTTAGGATAGAATGACTGTGTTGTTCTTAAAATTCAACGTCATCTGATTTGTTCATCTTTATTCAGTTTTCACCCATAACTAGTTCTGTTGACATTCCTTTTGTTTCCAAGATGATTTCATGTTTACAACAGATTATGTTGTACAGAATGAAATTTTTTTACCTCCGCCAAGGAGGTTATGTTTTCACCCCTGTTTGTCTGTCTGTCTGTCTGTTTGTTTGTCGTCAACATAACCCAAAAAGTTATGGACCGATTTTGATGAAATTTTCAGGGTAGGTGGGAAATGGGTTAACTTTGAAGTGATTAGTTTTTGGTGGTGATCCAGATCATTAATCAATCAATAATCAAAAACCAATCATCAACATAACTCAAAAAGTTATGGACCGATTTTGATGAAATTTTCAGGGTAGGTAGGAAATGGGTTAACTTAGAAGTGATTAGTTTTTGGTGGTGATCCAGATCATTAATCAATCAATAATCAAAAACCAATCATCAACATAACCCAAAAAGTTATGGACCGATTTTGATGAAATTTTCAGGAACTGTCAAAAGTGGGCCAAGGAACAGATGATTAGTTTTTTATCCGGATCAATAATCAATAATAATAAAAAATTGCTGCCTTGACGGAGGTCTGTGCTCTCGGAGTGATTTTCTAGTGTTTACAAAGAATAAAAAGAGTTGTGCAAAAATTTATTTGCAAAAGTTTATTCACATATAAGGGATAAAGTAACATATCTGAGAAAAAGGATATTTTATAATTGCTAGTATATATAATCACATCCAGAATATACATAGAGAGACAGATGGCTGATAAAAATATACAAGAACATATTTTGGAAAAAACATACATTTCTCAATATCTAGAGTATATAAAATGCTTACAAAAAGCTACCAGACATTTCAAAGTGCAACATATTTGTCATATATTGAATAAATGAAAATACTCCATTACACAGAGACAAAAGCTTTCTTTATTTGACATCGTGAATATATAACAAGAATAAATAGGGAAAATATGAATTTATGAACCAAAATAATGTAACTCACTTATAATGAGGACGCTGTAATCCACAAATACAGAATTGCTAACGAGTACCACAGACAGGTGTATTTCAAAAGATATCAAACTGAAGAAAATCAAATTTCAATGTTTCAAGGTAAATGCAAATATCTGACTTTTAGATATAGGACTCAAACAAACAGAATGACACTGTAGCCTCTACTCTTGATTAAAAAAGGAAGAAAACTGCAGTAAAACAGTGTGAGATTGTGTCTGTATATTATCCCTCTCACCATAAATAAATAAAGAAATAAATGTCACGAGAGACAGTAAACCCAGAATTAAAGAAATATTATCAGCTGTAGAAGTTTGATCAAAAGGATCCAATCATCAGCTGTAGAGTCCTTGTTTTAAGTATAACATACTACACATATTATGATTCAAGTCCAGTCTGAGAAAAATGTCAAACTACATGATATTTTTAAATCTCCATTTGGAGGCCAAACCCAACTGCAGGATCAGAGAGGACTTATCACCTCCTGGCTAGGTCCCAACAACTAGACTGGGCACATCAAAACATGCTGGTGGTAATACACACACTTCATTGAAAATAACAACTCATAAAATCTTACTGGAATGTCCATAGCAACTGGTTTTTCCAAAGTTTCTATTTACAACCCATCAGGCTTCCTCCTCCCTCCCCAATATGAAAGAATGTCTCATTAAAGAAATGCAGGAGATTGTTTTGCCAAGAAAAAAAGGAATACTTCACTCACAGACTTTTTCCTTATCAAATTCTTCACTATCTTAAAATCGCTTTTTTACCGCAGAGAAATACAATGAAAAATCACATTTTTTTCCAAAGGTAAACATATTATGTACATATTAGAAATAACATATAAATGTACCATCATATATGCCACTAGATTGAGCCAACAAGTGTGCTCAAAGATACCAAGACAAAAATAACTGAGAAATAAAATTATAAAATGAAATAAACGGACAAAAAAATTATATCATATATTCAAAAATAATTGAAGTAAAATGTAAAGTATGTCATTTTCTCTACAAATGGAATCTCCACTGCCTTTGCATTCAACAGACTTCTCTACTCTTCACAAACCAAGTCAGTGAACCTCCTCTATTTTAGTCTGATAATGTCAAGGTCACAGCAGCTACCAATACAGCGGCATGAACATCATCGATCCCAGAGCAGCTCCAGCGACCATCCCCAACGCCACGTCACTGCCATCTATGCTGTTTCTTCTGCGTCTGCATCCATCTACGGGATAATAATTTCCGTCTACGTACACCACTTGCTGCTGTCCAGAGTGTTGAACTGAAATAACCAATAAAAATGTACACCATCCTTTCCATCTCTCAAAATTAATGGTCTTTGTCAGTAGCTTTCTGTCTGAATTTGTTTTATGACTAAAAATGATTATTTTGTAATCTGGCAATCACTGATGTTCATGGTAATCAAGAGGCATATTTATGATTTTCATTTTCTTTAGCCTTAAAAAAATAGATATAAAATTAAGTTTTTAATCAGCTTAAAACCTGTTTTAAACCAGCTTTAAACCAGCCCGCAAACGGCTTCAAACCAGTCTCACACCAGCTTTACAATAAGCTAAAACCAGCTTTTTAATCATCTTAAAACCTCCTTTAAAGCAGTTTAAAACCAGCCATAGATCTGCTTACAGCCCCAGCCTTACCTATGGGAGGTGGGTTTGACCCATAGTAAACTTGGCCAGGATAACTATATGCTACTTGCTGGCGTGGATATGGAGTGGAAGCCGCCGCCATTTGCTGTTGGGGATATGGAGTAGAAGCCGCTGCAGTTTGCTGTTGGGGATATGGAGTAGAAGCCGCCATTTGCTGTTGGGGATATGGAGTAGAGGCCGCTGCCATTTGCTGTTGGGGATATGGAGTAGAAGCCGCCACCGTGTGCTGTTGTGAATACCCAGCACCACTGCACATGTTCTCTTGATACACATGTACATATGGAGGTGCTGAAGCCAAGGTTTGGGGTTGGGAGTAAGGGAACTGTCCCCCATTTGTTCCTGTAGTGCCGACTGCTTCAGAATATGTGGGTGGGGCATCCTTGGTGCTCCTTGTAGTCAGGACTCTGGCCTGTTCTAATGCTATCTTCCAGGCACTGGAAAATAGTGTCATAATAATCAAGGTTGAGGGTAACTTATCGTCTTTTTTTTTTCATTAATGAATCAAATAAATTAAGGATTATTATTGTTTTTTTTTTTGTTTTTTTATAAACGGATCAACTGAATTAACATTATATATATTATATAAGCACTGGAAAACAGTGTCATACAACTCAAGGTTGAGGATTCTTGTCTTTTTTTTTATATAAATGAAGCAACTGAATTATCACTATATTATATAAGATTTATTTTCATCTGTTACAGGATGAGGTTGATAAATTTGTTTTTAAGTAATAATGATAATTACAGTACTGCCTCTTCCCCCGATATGTTTGTTGCTTTGTTTGTAAATGTGTGTGTGTGTGTTTTCTTACGTCATATCATCTAACGTATCAGCACACAGTTGGTAAGTGTTATTGCCTCTTCCCACGATCTTCAGCAGACACTCTTTACCAGTGCCCTCTGGGGGAGTGACACCACACTGAAAATAGTTTTAAGTCAATTGGTTCATTAATCAAGAAATTAATGTGCAATAAAGTATCTCTTTTTTTTTTTAATAACCTACATCTAAAACAGACTTCCAGTTTTCAATGATTTTTCACACAATTTTTTTCAAAGTCGGTCAGACTAATTAGTTGTTCTCTGCAAAAGTTTTGTGTATGTAATATTCCTTGGTTTAACTTGTCCAGTAATTAGTGTGTGTGTGTGTGCGTGTGTGTGTGCGCGTGCGTGCGTGCGTGTGTGTACACAACTGTGCCCCATACCTGTTCTCCAGACAGAATAGCCAGACATTCGATCTTCATCACCAGAGTCCACTCCGAGTAATGGCTGTCGGCACTCTCAAACATTTTCAAGTCACCATTTTGATAGAGGACAAACCAGTTACGTTTCCACCTTCGCAGAATTGAACCTAAGCAGAATAATTAATGTATCATTACATAAACCAATGAGTTCTGTTGTCAAAATAGGTATACCTTGGATGTGTTATCTTCTGATAAGTGGCAAATAAAATGAAACTTTATTCATAATCATTTTCAAATGAACATCAAACTAATCATTTGAATTTAATTTTTAAAAACACAAACTTGAGACATATGATGACTTAAATCATATCTTACAACAGTAAATTTTTATGACAAAATTTTTGAGAGTGAAACTGGTAACTACAGTAGTATTGTACATGTTTGGCAATCATAACATGAAAAACATTGAGGAAGCAGATAACTTACTCTGTCTTTGAAGCCATCCTGCTTTTACAATGTTGAAATCTGCCATGAGCAGTTAACATGAACAGTTCAACCCAATCTAGAATGAACAGATTACGGTAGTGTGAACAGTGTATATAACTATGAATGTACAAATTACGACAGTAGTTCATACATGTTCATGTGCATGCATATAAATAAAATAACATGATTTCAGACTACAGTGTATAGGCTGTATAGTCAAATTAACTACAGTGCTGGTATAGTTTATATGATATAGACTATAGACAAAGATGTCTTGTTTAACATGTACTAGTACATGTACAAACTACAGTACACTGTTAGAAGAATGCTAACTCTTGTTACAATTTAATTTATAATTCAGTTATTTACGTTTATATCCGACTGAGGATGAACACTTTCTGGTAGTGGTACATGAACATGAAATAATACTGTATAAATACTGGCAAATTTTACATTACGTCAAAATTTATGGTACTCATTTTTGACATGAACTTAGCAGTGATCAATACTAACTAAACATTTACTTTTAAAAACCTCTCAACTCTTTAAATAACTGGTTACTCACTTTAAAATGTAAGCTTATATGTCAAATCGTTGTGTTTACAGTTACGAGATGAGCGACACATCAGCTTAGATGCGCAGAACTTTTAGTACACCGTGATGTGGATAGGTGGCGACTCTATGCAGGAAAAGCTGTGTAATATGCTGCGAGTGGGGTCGAGAGGTAACCAAGGTTTCTATTCTGTCGCCTTTTTAACAGTTAAGTGGTGAAAGTTTGGTATTTTAATCTGGTGCCACTTCTTCTTCGTTTTTTTGAGCATTGCAAGGAATTCATTTGAGTATGATATCTGTAAAAATGACAAAATCAAAACGTCGTTGGCGACCAAGCTTGAAGTTCAAGCGGGAAAATAAAATTACTGTTTTATCAGACAATGTCCGGCTAGCGTGCAGTTTAACCCTGTGAGTGAATGCTGTCACTACCTGTAAATTATAGAGTTGTAAGTCAAGTTATGGCCAGGGATAATAGCTTTCTTTGTTCTCCTAAGGCCTAATTTGTCTTGCATTGTTTGCATAAACGGACGCATACACTTCGACAGGGGGCCTGCCAATGCATTTCACAAGCCTACAAAGAGATTTTCCCAGCCACCCCCTCCTTCAGAGAGTACAAGATGAAAGTCTTCAAATTATTATGTCTTTTGTTGGCAAATTTTGACAGAAATTCGGCTCCGATCAGGATTTTTATCATTTTTGCAGGACTGAGGGCATTTACCCCCCCCCCCCCTTCCCCCGTACGGTTTCTAGACTTGTGAAAATGACGTCCCCTTAGTTAGGCCTTGAACATCGAATGCCCAGATTTTGTGACAGTAGTACTTCCATTCCAGTATATTTCTAGAAAAGGTTGCTGGAGGCTGCATGTAGTATAGGAGGGTAGGAATCCCCCCCCCCCCCTTAATCACCAATCACTAAGAATGAAAACAGCTCAATCACCAAAAACAAAGATATATTCAGGTCAATCACCAATCACTAAAAATTCCTGAATCATGTTTCACTCAGAATATTGGGCTCAAATAATGCATCACGCTAAAAAAAATAAGGCCAATCACGCGGAACACAAAAGGTATTCCCTACCCTCGTATATGACCTACATTGTAGTACATCATCCAAATACATGTTCATCATGTCCAAGTCCAGTGTGGATTTTAAAATGCTTTACCTTGCACTCTTTTAGGTCACTTAATTTAGGAATAATGCAGAGGACATCCCAACAAACGACAGGTGATGACAGTGACAGTTCAGGTGATATACCTTTGTCACAGCTGCGCACACCAAGAACACAACAGAAGGACCCCCCAGGAGATCCATACAAAACCCCAGGGGTGACTCCCAGGGCCTCGGACAGAATAAGATGTCGAAAAGCCCGGACATTTGTAATGCCAAACAAGAGGGATGTGTTTGACAAAATTGAAGTCCCTTCCAATGGCAAGTTCTCCTCTTATGAGCACCTGAAACCTCGTCGGATTGTGAATGATTTTATACGAGTAAATCATCGCTATAATTTTGATCCAGACTACACCAGTGGTGAGGATTCATCGCTGGATGGGTTTCTGGCCGAAAATAATTCAGAAGAAGAAGAAGAAGAAGATGAGGAGGATGATGAAGACACTTTTCAACACAGAAATTCCAAGAAGAAAAAGAATTGTGGTTTACAGAAGAGAAGAACTTCAATTTTTTCATCAGTTAAATCAGGTGATAAAATGGACACTGGTTCAAAATTTAAAAGAATCAGAACAATTGCGGATGATTCGAGTGACGAAGATGGTCAAAATGCAGATGACAGTGATTCTGATGTTCCTATGAAAAAAGTGCGAAAGTTTTCCCATGGTAGTTCTGTGTCAGGCGTCATAGATGATGACAGTGATGACTGATATGCAATCAATGAATACTGAATTCAATGTACGCCTGTGTAAAATGTAATAAAAATAAGCTGTCAATACTCCAGTTCTTTCTTTCTTTTTCTTTCATCCTTTTTATTTTGAAATCAGTAGATTTGAACATAATTTTACATCTTACTGTAGCTGCAAAGCCTTTACTGTTATACCGCATGTGATCATATGTGAAAATTTGTTTAAAATTTAAAAGAAATTGGGATTGCTTTTTTCTGAACCATTTTGTATGTGAAATAATTATTCTAATTTGTGAAAAGTCATTGTTACAATAGCAGTTTCTCAGATTTCTAACTGGAAAAGGTTAATTGGATATGTAATTAAATTTTTTAAAAAATGCCAAAAAATTAATGAGAAAAAGCTAAGCAGTGGGTGGAACCATATACATAGCACAGTTTTATTTATCCAAGACTTAAATATTTACTGAAATTTTCAAGTTAAAAAACTTTCTAATGAGAAGGTGAAATATGTTTTCACCTCAAATGACAATAATTTGATGTACTAAGAGAAGTACTTAATATTGTCAATCAGGTTTTCATATACCGATTTGACAGTGAAAATGTATTGTCCAATTGTCAGATGTTCTATTATCTTCTTACCTTTGCTGGCTGCTGTTGTGTACACTATCGCCCCCTATTGATTAACATTCACATTAGTTCTTCCTTTTTTTCAAAAATGTGAAAACCTGTATAAATCTTGCTATTAGCATTTGTTGTTGTTTGGGACTTCCTTTGTATATAATGTTTTAGTTGTTGGTTGGGCATGTAAGATATACCTGTAGATCAACAATGTCTGTTGAACAGGGCTGTACAGGCTGTAGCTGTTACATATTTTTTCAAACTTACATGTAGCTAGTGGTTGAAAATGTCATTTCTAGCAAATTATTTCATGTTTATAGGAAATTGTTGACAGAAATTGATTTTCAGAAATAAAATATATATTTATATCAGTTGTTATTGTTGGGGTGCATCCTTCAAAGACAATTAACTTGATTCCCTGTTCACTATATGATAAATACAGTATTATCAATTATTTTCATTATTATTATAAAAAAGTGCTTATATTGAATAATACATATTTTAATATATATATGTTTTTTTTTTAATAAGATTGATTTTTAGTAGTTTAAATTTTAAATGGTTTCCAATGAGAGTTTATGATTAAAATATTGTAGTCATTTTAATGATTTTAGTATATTAGCCATTATTGTAAGGCGCCTTGAGATAGAATGTAAGGCGCCATATAAGAATCTTATTATTATTATTATTATTATTAATACATTGTACATGTATGTACACAAAGAGAAAAGCAAAATCCTTCAAAAGTATTTTAGTAACTGTGACATTTCAATAAATGTCTCAATAAGTAAGTACTTTGAGATTTTTTTAAAGTAGGAAAATTCAACAGTAAAATATCATGGAGAGCCTACCTAGTAACTTTTTATGCTGGGTATGCTTTTTAAATAATAATTTTAATTAATGAAGTTTTTCTGAAATTTTGTGTGAATCCAGAATAATCAAATTCTTTTACAGTGCTCAACCTAATCTGGTACATGTAGAGCTGATTTAACCAAGTCTTGTAACGTCTCTTTCGTTCCGTCATGTACTGATGAAAAGGAGCATACCATAAACATTGATATCTTCCTGTGTGAAGGTTTGATGCGTTATTGTGTCTCTTGAACATAGAATTGTTTGAGCTCCAGTTCTGCTTTGACAGAGTTGATAAGTTTGTAGCTATTATGTGACCGTTGGCCCAAATACTGGTTTAAATGCGCACTAGGAGTATGTGTGAATCTGTCACTTTTTTTGATGGCAATCTTTGAAATCCACATGAAATAAGCTCTTTTGCAGTTTAAATCACTGAAACACATCCTTCTCTTAAATACTTGTACATGTGTTTGTATAATTAAAACAATTTTTATTCTTAAAATTTTGCTTTTTTTCATTAATTTATTTGAACTGTAAACTTTAAATATTAAGAAAAGCTATCTTAGGATGTGCCAAATTAAAATTTACAGACCATAAAAACATGTACCAGAATAAGAACTCCATTGTCCTTATATCTCATCCCTGTACCCATCTTGGAAACCTGTGGGTTCCCTGGGATGATGTATGCATTTCTGTTTAAAAAAATGGATGAGTTAATACAGCTTTAATCCTAAAAAAAAGTCTGGTGCAATTTGTTTACTTTTTAGATTGTCATTAAATAAAGACATGTTAAATTTATTTTGCCATTTTCAAAACTATGGGCATTATGCATTTAGAGCTTCTCAATGAGAAATTTAAGTTTCAGTTTTGACAAAATTAATACAAAGTGGGAAAAACAAACAGGAAGGAAATTGTACAAAAGCAAGTCTCTGCAGGTATGTGGCTGGTTTCACAAAAAAGTATAAAATATGTTTTTTGATCACTAGGGACAGTGACATTCAACAGGTTAGAAGTGGAACAAATTTCCAATCTTAAAGTGGAGATGTACATTTCAACCCATCTTTTTTATTTGAGTGTGTAAAAGTTGTCTTGTCACAATCTGATGTGCCTGACAATAGCTTGTTTATGTAGCATGGAATTCATCCTGCAAATTAAAAAAAAAAACTTAAAATGGTTAGGCAAAGGATACCACTAGTTTAGTTTATAGCATAATTTTACGCTACCCATGACATTGTGATTGATTACAGAAAGATCTTCACGAAAAGGGCAAAAAATGCTTCCACTTATACTCTGGCAAAGCAGTACACATTTACATGTATGTACATGATCAGTGTAACAATTTACTTTATCTCTCGCATGGGGTTTGGGAAGCCTGTTTGCAATGCATTGTGGGATACTATGTTGTCATGGTGATTCTGGCATGGGAGTATACAGCTTGATAATCAGTGTCTCATTCATACAAGCAGCAGATAAAGAAGCAAACATACAAATAATAATAAAAACAACTTTGATTTTTTGGTGTGAATAATGTATTATACTCTGAGTAAGCATTTATTCAGCCCAAGAATACTTCAGTTCAGAGTGGTGGATACAAGTAAGAGCTTGGAGCTAAGACAACAGACACACAGGTATCAAATTGCAGCAATGGCAAGAGCATAGAGCAAAGGAGATTCTGGTGTGCAAGTTTCCACTCTTCTTTTCTTTTTTTGTTTTACCGAACTGAGTTCGTGAACCAAAAATTCAAGAATTTCCACAGCACATATCCCCTCTATCCTTTATCAAATGGTTCAAATATACTTCATAGAAAACTTCCATCTCTCTGAAGGAGAAAACGCCATATCCCATTACTATTTAAAAGAGGCACTCGAATTAGGAATTTAGAATGATTATCCACTTTTACTCCCAAAACTGGGCCATTATTCCTCTTGCACCTTGGAAAAAAAGCACATTTGGCACATTTTTTTCATCCATGGTGAACGAAGGACTACTTATCCTCCCAACTTAGAAAAAAAAAGGACAAGAAATTTTACGGAAATGTTTTGAATCATGGATTTCAAGAAATCCTATGGCAACTTGCTTTGTCAGTTTTGAGAATCAAATGCACCATGTCTACCACACAAAATAGCACCATCAAGGAATGGTCCAATGCCTCGTGAGAGAAAAGCGCCCAACATATCTCATGCAGCACCAAGAAGCCTCTCCACTCTATGCTCTTGCTCAATTTGTCCTATACAATCAACTTATAATGGCAAAGCACAAAGCAGTAGTCTCTACCTTGTTATTAAGGCATTGGATTTTGTGAACTTCCTGTAACCTTCAAATGCCCGACCTTGAGAGGTTATGACCTTGATTTGGCAAGGTCGTAACCTGTCTTCGGCCTACTGGATAGCATGCACACTTAAGCGGTGTTTTTGAAGTCTACCCACTGAATTTCATTGTTCTTTCAAGATATTTTACAATACAATAGCTAACAGCAGACAAGAACAGCCCACCACAGATCATGAAACCAGGTGACAGGGCTTTACAGTAGTACAGAATGTTATATCAATAGCTGCAAAAAAGCTGGAAAAAGCTAGGCAAAATAGTCCCATCCTGCATCATCATCATCTATCTTTATACAAAAACCTTGCAGTAAAATTGTCATGACAGCCTAACGGCAGGGGAGCAGAGTAAAGTGCTAGTCCTATGTGGGCGGGTACGTGAAAGCTATTACATCATGCAATTTTGTAGTGATGCAATTGACTTGAAACACAACTATACGGCAACTTTCATTTTTTTCACTTTTTTTTGAAAATATCTTGAAAGAAGACATCACATGTCTTTTTAATATCTTTCATTCGAAAATAAACAAATCCAATATCAGTAACAATAGGATACATAACAATGATGGTGACGTCCAATGTTTGACATGTAACGTCCCCACTGCAAAATCCAATGTTTCTTAAACAACATTGTAACAAAATGAAAAAAAAAAGACGAACTACAATCTTGTTCAAGTGTGATCTTATAAAGCATGTACTACAAACAAAACAAATTAACCACCATCGCATTTTTCAATTCGCTGATGGTGGTCACATGACAATCATGTGACCACCCATGTGACTAGACTGGAAACTATATGGCGTTCAATATGTAAATAATACATTTAACGTTCAGTAACCTAGCAGCATTCAGGCAGCTTTTTAGAGTCCCTTTTGGACATTGCATCGACAACACTTGAACAAGATTTTTCTTACGATATACATAACTACTGTAAAATTTGTACACAGCTACTTGGTATAGGTAACAGAACTGGTATTAAAATATCACAAAAATTATATAAATTTTTTACCAATGTCATTGTATCATTGTACTCCTTTTTTACAATAATTGGTGAATTAACATTTTTTAAAATCATTGATATCCACTAGTTACTAGATTAATTAAAACACCTGATTAAATACTTTGGAAAAATATGAATCTGAAAGTTTTAAAAATCAAGACCAATGCAATGTCACTTAAAATCCAATTCAAGAATATTCCACTAAAATCATCTTGGGCTATTATTATATAAAACAGCAAACCATTACTCAAATCTTCAAAACATCACGTTCTACTTAATCATCATTACAGTGGACTATCAACGTAATTCAACCTTGAGAACTGACACAAAGATTTATATATAATATATATATGGAAATTAAAATGTACAAGTAATTATAAACACATTTGTTCTTAACGTTGTGTTTTTTGACACAAGCTCTTGTTCAGTTGTGGAGCAGAAATCTGAAGGCTTTCAATTTCGCATGAAAATAAGATCTTCACCCTGTTATGTGCATATTCTATGACAATTCCATTTTACTCAGCTTGCTTTGAAGATCAATCACTTAATTTGGTATTCAAGATTAATTAGAAATTAAAATAATGGAATATTTCAATCAAAATGAACCCTGTCCCTCTTCTGTACTGGGAAGGCATTTTGAAGACATTTTTATGCTTTATATCTCAAATTACAAAAAAGATAACATTTTTTAAGTTACTGGAATTATTTCTAATATATAAGAATTTCCTTTAATTTTCTATATGTTCAAAGGATTTGGTGAATGGACAACAGAGATGGGGGGCAGGAAGAAAGACACTGAAAATTTTTCTAAGCTTACTTACAAAGAACTGTTCATGGCAGATTGTTTGTAAGTAAACATATATATTAAGTCACAATAACAGGATGTGTCACTTTTTCCAATTTTCAATAACTCATTTTCAAAATTTGGATAACTGCTTCATCATTCGTACTCCATGGACTGAACAAGAGCTGAAAATGAGCACCTCTTTTAAAAGTGGACGACCAGTGCCCACTTTGTTTAACACGAAAACAACTATACAGATCCAATAGTGCTAGTTATACTGTACCTACTCACTATGATAATGATTACAAAGTAAACAGGAAATCTTTATATCACACTTTGAGTGATTCCCTTCACATTTTACCAATTAACATCAATTTTTGTTACTACCAACACACTAACGCCTCAGTTTAAAACAAAGGCAAAATTTTCTTTATTATTTTTTTATGTTAAAGTAACTTATCAATTAAGCTTGTATCAAAATAGCTTAAAACTGTATTTGGTATCATTGATTCCTTCCTTATATGGAAGTTTTTTAACTTTAAAATTCTCTGCACCATTTCAACAATGACAAGTACATACATACAAGTACTCAAAAAATTCCCCTACGCCTTGCAACCCTATATCCCCTTACTCGACTCTGGTGTACATCTTGAATAAAGTACGCACTACAAATAGTCACAATGTAGTAACTCATGTAAAACTTAACTAAATAAAAGAAAAAATTACTTACAAGTCAATTAAAAATGCACTATAATAATAATTAATAATTATAATAGTTGTAATAATAGTATAAGTAATACCAATCTACAAACAATACATCAAATAAGATAAAATATATTCTAACTAGCATGGATTTTTGACCTCCACCCCCTTAAACAGAACAAAATAAACTCATCTGGTGTAATAGCCATTCTGCCTCTGGGAGGGTCCATTCTGCCCCATAGGGATGTTACTTACAAACTTGTATGTCCATACTTTTCTCCATCATATGGCCAGCCTGTCAGACTGTCACTATTCTTATTTATGGCACATAGAATTGTAATGGAATCAATTAAATTTGGGTTTTATATTGGACATATAAAAATTGCATTGCACTTTCGTGTTTAACTGTCAGAAAACAACCTGCGAAACACACTCTTTTTACGCCTTTTGCAGAAAATCACCTCCATGGGATATACATTTCCTTAGAAAAAAAATCCCCATCACTTTTCATTAAAAAAACTCCTTGGAGCCCACCTCCATTCTCTCCATGCTCTCTTGACAATAACATATGTATATGTAACATACAAGTTCTATATACTGTAATATTGAGCACTCTTAATCTGTTCTGTAAGGTACACATTATAAAAGCCAGGCCAGGTCAGATATAAAGTTGTATGAACCACTTGCAAGTAAACTATATATAAGATGTATATATACACACACTTAGAGTGCTATATTTCACTGCTAAGATTAAACCAGATGAAAAAAACTACCCAACAGTTTGATATAATACACTAATTAAGGAGATCATATATATGTACTGGTTTAATCTTTGGGGGGAAACATAGCACCGCTAAATAGTAGTCGGATCATGCGTCACTTTCATTAAAGCTTAGCAACCAAAGTAGCTTCAGCCATCTTATCTGTGTTGCCATGGATACCACAAAGCTAAGTTGTTCCTATAAATTTTGCAAGGTACTTCAACCAACAATCTAAGCAGTGTTGCTTTTTTCCTGCCCATTGGCAAAAGTGAAAACATTATTATAACAATATCAAATGCTTTAGAGTAATCAATAAACTAAAGCTAGCCCTTAAAAAAGACGGATTTTTTTTTTCAATTTGGCTTGGGAGCTGTCACAACTGCAATGTACTTCTTTGCATATAGAATGGATAACTCTCAATATTGAATGTATATAAAAAGTAACTGTAAATTTTGACAACAAGTACATAAGTAACAACTAGGGTTGCGAACACCCAATAAAAGTTTTCAATGGGTGATATGAGACCACTTTTATTTTATTATTTGGCAATTTTATACTAAAGTAACTAGGACTATAACATCCCTTATACCTGCCACATTGTGTAAATCTACCTACATATCCTCCAGAACACATTATTCTTGACCTCGAAAGACCTTGACCCAATTAAAGATCTCGTTCCCTTACAAAAGAGGCCAACTGAACATCCAAGTCTTATTGCAAAATTCTGCACTCAGAGAAGACTGCAATCACTCTCATTTCTTTAGTCCTTGTTTTACAGGCACCTGTCATGGCTAAATGGATTCTTAATCCTCATTTTATATGGCAGCTTGATTATCTCAAAGAGAAACAATTGGGCAATAGTTTCATATCTTTCATGGCTTCGGGAAAAGTCCTCACTCTCCTAATACATGGCATCTAGATCACAATTGGTTGAATCAACACCGGTATGTGGTAATACTTGCACATTGGGCGCGAGCATTTACCTTTGACAAAGTCTCGGCAGATGGTAATTTTTCCATCATTCGTTTCCACATAATCTGAAGATGGAGAAAGTGGTCACTATTATCTAACATCTTACTGATACAATAATTTGAGAGGAGTTTCAATTCTTACCATATGAAATAATATCCATCTCTTTCAAAATTGATCAGTAAGAAAATACTACTCTCACAGTTGATGGCATCAGCTTTCCATTACTAGCTACTTTGTCACAACGAAAAAATCATTGTACAACATCAAAATATTCTACCATATTCTGCCATAAAATAATGCCAATATTTAGTTGACAAATAATTAGCAATCGATGTAATAGAAACACTGAATGTCAAAAATTCAGAAGTTTTAAATATTTCTACTCACCCTCTACTAAGTGCACATACTTGCATTGTGGTCGCTGGCACTGACCCGACTTAAAATCTCTGCACACTGGCAGGGTGTCCAGTAACTGAAACAATGAACACAAACTAAGGTCACTGGGCATCCAGTTGCCTTTTAGGTGGCCACTCAGCGCAATGCTAACTTAATGGAAGTTAACAATGACAAAGCTATCTTCCATTAAGTTTACACTTGTTATTTGGACAACTGGATGTGTGTGGACAATTGCTTATTAATTACAAATGGCCTTGTAACATTTTTCACGACTGAAAATTTTCACATTTGGAATAACTTAATAAAAGGCAATGTGCTTTGTCATTTATTAAATTTCAGTATACAAAATGACCTATCTTGACTTTCATATTAAATGTCAGCTTATGATAAAACTACATATTATGTTTTTCAAGCCTGGGGACAAACAAGCCCAGTAGAGCTCATGCTAGGTATACTAGAGTAAAAAATAGTTCGTGTACATAAACTGTCAATGCCTGAAAATTTCTGATTAAATTAATGAATAAATCATTTTGCATGGGAATTTTTATGTTTGAAAATTGAGTAGTGCTTTCGGTACTTAACTTTAGAAACATTTGTAACAGATGAAGTTACAACATTTTAAAGCTTTTAACACAGAAAAAAAAAATCATTTAAAAGTTGGGCATGAAGACACAACATTATGTCTGAAAGTGAACTGACAATTATTTTTTCATAAGGGGAAGGGCTCATAATGATTCAATGCAGGGCAATTTCAAGGCAGTGCAATGCAAAACTTACAAAAAAAAAAAAAAAAATAAATAAATAAATAAATAAAATAAAATAAAATAAAAAAGGAATGCCATTTGGTCACAAGAATACCACAGTGGCTTATCAATTGGTCAAAGAATTGGTTGGCATATGATAGGTGTTTCAGTTATTGTGAAGTGGTTACTGCAAGTCTGACTTTGTAATTGTTATAGTGAGCTCACTGGGGCATGAAACTTGATGCAATAATAAAGATGTTACAAGGCCAATACGGGGCACCATTCCCTTAAATACAAGCAAAGCATAATGCACTGTGATGTTTTTAGCAAGATTTTTAGAGTTCTTTGCTGAGAGCAAAAAATGCTTCCTAAATAGAAAACAGTATCTGCTTTCATAGCAACTGTGTGTAGTAGAGACATGACATCACAAAAGACCTTTAAAAAATAAGCTAAAATCATCCAGTGTGAAGACATTTTCTTCCGTAACAACATTCAAGTTAATATTGCCCTTTTCTCCCTTTTAAGACCATGATGCAACATTTAGAAGTAAAATAGTGCTCTTAGAATAGTAAAAATAATTAGCAGTGCTCAGAAAGTGATATCAACTAAAATATCCAAGAAGCATAGTGATCAGAAATATAACTTTGAGATGTAGCAAACCATTTACTTATAATTCTAAGCAAAATATGATAAAGTACACAGGACAAGCTGACTTGCTGCAAAATACTGGATGGTGTAAGCTTTTTTGGGAGACAGTTATAAGCATTGATATGCAAATCCATTGGCAAAATGTGTTTTTATTACCACAAGCAAATTCAAGATCTGCTTTTTGTATCTCCACTGTTCCTTGTGAGCCACAAACTGCACTACTGATTTAACAAAATTTACTTAGGGGTAAAAATGATGCTTCTTAATTTGGTATATGTTCTATCAACTGATCACGATAAAATCAAAATAATCAGTTGCTACTATGCCAGAAACTGACTACTGATGCTTACCATTCAAGGTGTTTTAAAATAAACTGATGTTTTGTACCTACAGCAAACATTTTTTCTCCATCCCCCCCCCCTCTCTTGTGTCGTATATTGTATATTGAGAAAATTTCGACTAAAACATTTAACAAAAATACTTGGATAAGGTTGATAAAATTATCTGTAGAATTTTATTGCACATATAAGGGCAAAAGGCTGAATGTTAGGGCAAATGTTTGGAGCAATGGACTTTCTTCACATTATGAAGAGGAAGCTGATACCAAACATGGAAACATTCATGTGCAGTAGTTAAAAAGACATTTTGCTAAAAAGAAATCTAGTTGAAAAGGGAGATCCAAACATTTAAACTTAAAGCTCCCCTAGCTTGTTTCATTTTAGCAAAAGATTTACTGCAAATATTGTGCTTCTAGCCACACTCTGCAGCACTGCAGTTGCCAGGGTAGTGTTCTTAATATAAGCGGTTAAAGCTAAATATACTAGTAAAAACATGTGGTACCGAGTTGGAATGATATGGTGGTGTAAGTAACTGTGATTAACACATGAATTCTAGTGTTTTGTGCAATTACTCACAACAAGAACCTTAACAGGCTTTCAAAGATGTATCTTTATACAGTATATCATTTGATTAGACTGCTACCTAGGACAAGTGATGGATTTCGATAATCAATGTTGTAGGTGGAGGGGGGGGGGGAGGGCTTTCGGGACTTCTATAAAATCCTGATATTTAGCAGCAAGCCTTTTCTTGTCAACATAAAATAAAGAATAAGATAGGACCTTGGCTGTGCTGAAACAAGATTTGCTTAGAGCCACTGTACAGTAATAAAGCACATCAAATAAGGATTAATTAATACCAAAAAGGTTATATCTATGCAAGGCCAACATCATTAAACAAATGATAAATGCCATAAAATTAGGTTGCATTAGAGGAAATTTCAAGGGTGGGTCGTAATAGAAAAACTGTCATTATAGTACTGTCTTTTCCAATTTGATGTTACCTTCTTAGGAGTCCAGAGCTTATTGTCTTGTAAAATAGGTCAAAGGCCATTGTCTTGTAAATTAGGTCAGAGGTCATTGTCTTGTAATGACATCAGAGGTCACTGTCTTGAAGCGAGGTTAAAGTCACTCTTTTGTAATGAGACCAGAGGAAATTATTATTCAATTTTGAAGTTGTTGGTGCATCAGACACCAATTCACAGTCACCTTTACTGAATGGAGTCTTTGCTCCAACTTTGAGTCTGATGATGGAGTCAGTCATTGTGGTTACTGTTATTTATGAAAGAGGCCAACATGAATGCGATATGAAAGTCATGTCAAGTCATTAACTTTGTTAAAAAGTCATCTTCATTTGTCTCAGGTCATACTTTACTATTAAAAGTCAAGTCAAAGAATAAACTCATCGCATTAATGTTATATATTAACAAATTTTCAGACAATAAGTAATATTAGTTTGGTGGAAAGCTTTTTGAAAACAGGTTAGGTTAATGAAGGCTTAATCTTTTTTCAGCACTGCTCCCGGTCTAGAAAAAGAAGTGTTTATACCTGACCGTTGTCATCGTAATAATTTACACTATGGCTATTAGTAATGAGTGCACCTGCACTGCCAGCAGCGGTAGGAACCAAGGACACTGATTGGTCAGATGGGTGGTTGGCACGGTAACACAGTGAAAATAAGGCCAGCAATTGGATGAAAGCACAATATGGTCACAGCATGCAGAGTAGAGAGCACACACCGCAAGCAAGAGTGAAAAGTGCATGTGAAATAAAAAAAGAAAGTGAAACATTGTTACTGAAAAACATGTATACCAATTTCAGTTAACGTGGCATAAACTAAACTTCCTAAAAATATTGTTAAAAAACAGTTCCCTTCACCTTTGTAATTGTTATAAAATTCAGGAAACAATGAAAAGAGGTGACTTACAACCAGAAATTTAGTACATTGTTCATGCTGACAGTAAGCAGTAGAATCCAAAATACATTAGCACAGGGATACAATTATTGCACATCTATGTCACATTTACATTTTTGAGCTCAAAGATGTCCAAAGTACTTTGCTTCTATTAATTGAAGCAAAATCCCCAAACATTTGATTAAAAATCTGTGCAATACTTTAGAAAGAGAAGATTGTGCAAAAAAAAAAAAAAAAAAAAAAAAAAAAAAAAAAAAAAAAAAAAACTGTGATAAAAAGCAAACTAAAACTTAAAGCAAATGTGAAATTTTAAAGGTCAAAATATAGCAGGAAGCCAAGGAGAGGAATGGTATTTTTCATGATACATGGAGACATTTCAGAGTACAACTTTTGTAGCAAAGAGTCAAGGGGGTAGTCTGACAAATAATTCTGATTTTGCTAAACAAATTCTGTTCAAATGGTGCCCTGTTGTAGCATATATCACTGAACCACGGCCAAACCAGATGCTGATATATGGTTTAAATACCAACGGGTCAACATGTAAACACATTAAAATTGATATCAAAATGAGAACAAATAAAGCCATTGTAAATAATGAAAATCATTGAAAATTGTACATAAATTTAAATATATATATATATGCACATAAATTATGTAAATTGTATGTAAATCTTACATGCTACTGGCATATAACCTTGCTGGTGCTGTAGCTGCATGGAGAGAGCCTGTTGGTAGGCAGTGGCGGTGGTTGGCTGGTAGACAGGAAGCCCATTCTTATCTGCTACGGCCGGACGCTTGATGTACTGCGGCATTCCTGGGACCATGCCCTGATGGATAAAATAAAATTCACAGGCATCTCAAATGCCTTAACCCACCCTAACTGACCAAGGAGGACGAAAATTCTCACGATTTTTGATTCAACTGAAAATTTTCGTTTCTCTTCAGAATGCGAGATAATAACCAAGATGACAGCAATGTTAGTTATAGTAATAGTAATTAATTTGGAAGAGGTCAAAAACATGCCAAATGTATACAATTCTTTTTCGATTTTGCTTTAGGAAATGTTGGTGTTGATGAAAACATGAAAGGCTGGTGCTGTTTGCCAATAGCTGTGTTTCAAACCAGGATCATGGTGACTGAATTTGCATATCATTTACATAAGTGGATCTGCAGAAAAACAGGAATAAAGACCTCACAGGTGGTTGGGTCAAGTTTTTTGGTTATGAAGCATGGTGGTGGGAATAAATAGTTCACAGTGACTGTTGTCACCAACGAGTAAAGGATAAAACAATTTGGAAGAGGGTAAGTTTATAGGTAATGATGTTATATCGGGTTTCGTTGAGGTTTTTTCAACCCCTTCTATTTCTCAGTTACCATTATGCATTTTCAGTTCAACATGACTTGATTTACTGTGATAAAAGAAGAGACTGGATGGTGCAAGTCACTTTCAGCGCTGACTGAATATTGTGGGCATCATTTCATTCAAAAGATTAAAAGCAGAAAACAGATGGGTTTGAAATCAAACTATACACCCCACCCACTAGTATATACCATTGTCATAGAATAATAACCCATGGCCAGCCTTACATATAACACACACTACTGCAGCCCAGACCTCCAGATGGAGCCACTTGTGGACACATTGGGTAACAAACACCTGGTGCTCTCTGAAGTGTGGGTAATGTTTGATACCATGCATACAAATATTTTCAGGGTGATGAACTTTAGACTATATTCATATACACACCCACAAGTTGAGTTGGCATTAGCTGAGGTGTATGGAAGCTAAAATGTATTCAAACTGTATGTAAATATGTGCAAACAAATTGTGTCCTTCAGTCATAACTGCGGTGTGCTTGAAAGAATGTATGCAAATTGTATGTAAGTATATGCACATTAATTACGTCCATCAGGCATAAGCTGGTGTGACTGAAGGAATTCAAGTGTATGCAAATTGTTTGTAATACATATGCACATAAATTATGTCCACCAAGCATAAGCTAAAATGCATGATAAAATGTACACAAATTGTTTGTAAATATGTGCCCATCAATGAAATGCCAATTATGTAAATGCTGAGCAAATCTTTCATGCTGACATTCTTTGCCCTAGAAGGATAACATTGTTCACCTTGTATCCACCCAATCAATGTTCACATTTTGGGTGTCTTAATGTTTACTGTGTCCAAGAGTAACTCTTTCTGTACATCCGAGCTGCACTAGTAACAGTCTTATTTTAGACAGACCAGGCTAGGAAAATACTTGCTGTAATTAATGCCTTCTTAAATCCTGCTGATACTGTGGTTACAAAACAATATAAATGTAGAAGCACATAAATCTTACCAACAGTTCTGGTCCAGAAGATTTAAAAGCAATCTTTATATCAGATAATATTTATATCAGGTTAATATTTTACATGTATTTATAATTAAGGAAAAATATCAGAAATTCAATGAAACAATGTTTTTCATAGCACAGCAATTGGAAGAAAATTATACAATTTCAAAGAAGACTGTTGTGATAATCATAACTGCCCTAATTTTATTTATGTAAGAAAGTGTTATGTTTTTGGATAAAATATGCAATTGAAAAAATATTAACAATGTGTCCAATACTCTCAAAAAAAAAAAAAAAAAAAAAAAAAATCCAAATAAGTGAAGTTTGAAATGTGTGGGTAATTACCCTATCAATGATGGAGAATAAGTGGAAGATTTTAAGAAGGCATTTGACATAGTTCTTTCCATCACAGCCTGCCATTACAGAGTTGATTCAGGGATCCCTTTAACAAAAGTAATACTGAGCACAATTCACTGAATTAGTTTAAGTTTCATGAGAAAATAATAATATGAATTATGTTACGAAAGTAATATCAACAGAGATATTAAATGTTTGGTATCACAGCATTTGAAATTCATGTTCACTTCTGCAAAGAAAGTGTTAAAAGAAAGGATAATTTAAACTATACAATGAACATTTCTTATCTCCAAATTCCAACGTCATTTAAGGATTGACACATCACCAAGAAACTGTAATAAACGTTTTTAAATGATACCACACATTACACTGTTATCAAAAGGATCCCTCAATTTCACAAAAAACAAGTCATACACAATTCTCTTTAAATTAATTCATGTTTTGAAGTATAAATTTTTTTCCATTGTAACCATACATGTGCCCTCTTTCAAGAGAAAGAAAAATTCAAATTGATTTTTGCTTGCTGTGTATAACTTGTGACAAGAATTCTAAAGAAAGTACATCACTATTAAGCAACTTATTATCAAGCATTACTCTGCATTCTGACACTGATTGTCCTGCTGGTTTGGGTTGTCTTTGTTCTGACAATTCAAATGTTGGATGGAATGACCTTACTGGGCTGATATAACAATTAAACAGGCGGAGAGGAGATTTGAAATAAATGTTAGATGTCATGACAAAACTAAGATTAGCCCAGTCCCAAATTTAAATTAAAAGGCCAATTCTGTCTAGAAACGGTAATGTGATTGCATAAAAATTGCTTGAAAACATCTAGTCTGGATGATCCATGTAACTTTGGATATGATGGTGGATTCCAATAACTAGGCATGACTGAATTTTGCATGGCAAATATTTCTTGGCAACAGTTTCAACAGTAACATAACAATCCCATAACACCAGGATATCAAGTGCACCATATTATATACACAATAGAAACTTTAGAACCAAGTAAGGCAAAATAGTGAGCTCTACAGTCCTAAGCTTGTAAAATATTTTGCAACTGATAAAGTTTTATTTAAGTGATAACAGAGAATTTTTTAAAATTAAATAAACAAAGAAGGTTGCTCTCTATGTATTTATACATATTGACTAATATTTTCTAGATTTTTTGTTTCTAAAATTACTTTATTTATTATATGCATAACCACATGACACTGCTATTATGTAAAAGGTTAAAAGAACAATGTGCCCTAAAGACAAAAAAATTTAGTTCTGAATCATCAAAATGACGAAAAATCCTTTTCTTCATGATTGTGACAACTTTTTGGAAATGAGCCACCAGCAAAGCCTTCTCTGCAAATATTTGGGCTTTAAGAGAAATGTTTGATGAAGGTTGACTTAAATTTACATAGAAAATTAGGACTTTATTACATATTACTCCGAGCAGAAAGTAAATAAAATTCAAGCAAGTTACACTACAGGTAAAAGCTCATATTGGGAAATGAAAAAACCTCAAAAGCACTAACACTTCTAGTAAAACAATTTTGCATTTGGGGATTTCAATAATATCAAACAATGATTATAGCCAAAATAATTTACTAATGCAGCCCTACTACTTTGGTATTCTATAAGAATTTAATGCATCACCACAATTAGAAGTAAATTAAGTAAATTACAAGCAAAACTTGCAACATCTTGGTCCATTCAAAAATTGCAGTTATTCAATTTTTAAATTCTATATTTTTGTCTGAATTATGTTAACAGAAAGCATTTTCCTTCAAAGTTTCAAAGCTGGGAAGAAAAGGTTAATGAAAAGGAAAACCAAATACTTAAAAATATTGGCAAGCGGCATCAGGACTTGGGGGCATGTTTTCTTCTGTTCAATAACGGGCATGTTTTTGATTTTTTTTTAATCGCTGTTACCTCCATCCAGGACCCATTAACTATAACTATCTAATACCAATTAGAAGATAAATATAAAAAAGGTGCTAATGTGGCAATCCTGCAGGTGCTGTGAAAAAAATCTAACAAATTAAATAAATAAAAAAACGAACTTTTTTAACTTTCTCACCCTCTGAATCTATCATACTGTTTTTAACATCTACATCATGATAATTAGTTGGCACACACATAGTACATTGATGCTGGTTTTAACGGAGAGGTGTAGGTGGCAGCAATATATAGCTAAACACACAATCCTGCCCATACAATAATAATGATGATAATAATAAATAACAGAATCAACCAATTATGAGTGGTCCAAAGCTTTTTAGAGAGATCTGAGGAGAACAGATGGTTGATATTGAGAGAGTAGCCTGTGTCATGTGGCTGTGCAAAACCATATTTTCAAAGCCTCTATCGCTACATGCAAAGCATCATGGGATCATAGTACCAGAATGAGATCGTCGGAGGGCTCACGAGGTCGCTTCTTTCCTGTCAAGACCTCAACCACTTGCGGCTAATTAGTAGTAGGCAGAGCACATGATGGGCCAATGAAATGGCAGCATGGCAGGGTTGGCGGCACATGACAACAGCAAGCAGCAAGGCATTGTGGGTAATAAAAATAAAAAGAAAAACGGCACCTTTTGTAAAAACAAGATAAGTCAAAAACCAACATGCATTCAAAACCATTGATCTAAGCTCACTTTCAGCCCCAGTCGCATGCCTTTCAACGACTCCCCTTTTTTCTAAAAAAACATCTGTATATAAAGTTTTCCCGTTCTCTCTAATAAATTACAGAGAACTATGTGAATACAAAATTAGTTTCCATTTTCCTTTTATCCTTATAATGATGAAGTCCACTAATAGATTCCACCTGTTCACTTTAATGGTTAATGCAGATAAACTAAAAGAGTCAGGCACACAGATATAGCTCATGCTGCAGACACCGCACTCCACAACGTCTCTTCGTTACACAGACAACCAGGCAGTATTTAAATTTCACAGTACCATGCATGGCGCCCGCACTTCAGCCCCCAGCACCATTATACTCAGTGTAATTAAAAAAAAGCACCAGTCTATCATCTGGGTGGTCTCCTGGCAACAGTTGCTATGGCAATATCAAAAATATTTCTTTGCTAAGGACATTTTAGAATTAAATTTAGATCCAAAATTTGGTGCCATCAGAGAATTTG